CAAGACTTTCAACAATGGTGAACCCATTGAGTTCAAGGCTTGCCTGTTTGGCAAGTCTTTGAATGACATGAAGAAACTATGTGCGAAGTTATGTGATGTCCATGCCCCGCTAATGGAGCAGCTTCTCTTAACCAGCGATATCGCACCTTCCATCATTTGGAAAGGTGTTGTCGGTCGCACCAAGGTTGTTCTGGATGGAAGTCGAGGCTGGTTCGGTTTTGTTGAGTTGCTAGAAAAGTCGAAGAAAAAAAGAGGTTCTGTGATGATCCTTCACGAGGATGAGACTTTGAAGGCTCAAAAGAACGCCAAAGTGAGTTAATAAGTTTTTCTTATTGTCCTTCTTCATGTTTCTCTCGTCTTTATGTTTTCCCTTTTGTGTGTTTAATCACATTTATGTGGTTAGTTTACTAATGGCAATGTCAATCATTTTCCTACAGGTCAATGCAGCGAAGCAGCTAATTGCCACAGCTGCAGGCCCAGCTTCGGGCAATGGCAATCAAGATCTTGAAGTGGTGAATGCCCGCTTAGAAGTAAGTTTTTCCTTTACACTCCAGTTACGTAAATTTTGGGTCAAACTAACCCTTGGTGGTCACAGGCGTCCCAAAAGTTGGTCAAGTTGCACGAGACCACTGCGGCCATTTATCGTCAGCACGGCGAGGTTTCCAACAGTGGCGATGGTGTTATTTTGGTAGCACCCTGGGACCCAAACTTTCAATACCGGTTCACCCTGCGATGTGCCTTCGAGTGGGCCAAAGCTATCGTGAGTTGCCTGTTGTTCCATATTACACATTCCTTGTGGATGTTAAACTGACCGCTTCAATCTCATATTTAGGAGGCCAAATTGGCCACGATCCATATGGCGCCTGATACGAAAGAGTATCGTGCGGAAATGGAGAAATCTCGAGTATTTCATCGCGCTATGGCTGTGCGTGACCGCGTTCAAATGCGTATTGGTGCTCGTCGGGCTGCTAGATCAACTCGTTCTTTCTTTGGCAAGGATGCCAAAGAAAGAACCAGCCCTACTCCTGCCGGTGGTTCGGGCGTCTGCCTGGTCATCTCCTCAGACGACCGTGTAATTTCCGAAACGGAAAGCGAGCATGATGCCGGTAAGAGTTATTTTGGTAACAAGGAGAACCGTGAGTAGCGCCTCTTATGATCTATATAACTAGCTTCCATCTGACAAGTCTCCTTGTATCTCTGTCTTTCTCTTATACCTCTGCATGTAGATCCCTCGGCCAGGAATGCAAAGCTCAAAGCTGAGATTAGCACGTCCAGCTTAGAGTTGCCCATTTTGGAAGGCAAGCCTAATCTGCCCAAAACCCAATATGGTAAGATTTCGTAGTTTTTTCACTGTCTGCTCTTTCTTATTCCTAAGGTTGTGCTCATGATGAAAACGATTCATTTAGTTACTGGTCGCTCTACAGGAAACGTGATTGAGTTAGATAACGGTGATGACTCTTCAGATATTTCCGACGGTATTGGTACCTCGGTGATTGCTTCTCACGAAGCGGCATTGGAGAATTTCCTTTACACTACTGGTATTCCCCCTGAAGATTTGAATACCCGCATGGGCTTAGCTGAAGCTGGGGTAGAGTCATGGACCGATCTCATCCCGTCCCTTCAGATGACTGAGGGGACTTTGGTTTTTCGAGGTGTTAACCGCAGTGTTGCAGGCCGTCTGCTTGCAGCTGCTGAAGCTCGTTACATGCGAATCACCAAAAGACAAGGTGAGTGCGCCCTTCATGACTTCCACTTCTTTCAGTTATTGATCACTGATCATCCGACTTCTCCTGCGTCTATTAATCATTTCAGCTGCCTGATGAATACCTAAATCGAAGAATCATACATGTTAAGTATGTAATCCTCTAAAGTCAAAGTTGTGTTGTTATCTTGCTATCCAATTTTCTGTCTCCTGTTTTATTCGGTCAAAAAAACCACAAGAATTTGTTAACTTCGCCAAAGTCCTATACACTGAAAGGAAGTTATCGTGCTTATCTAGTTATCCCAAAGTCTGCTTACCTCGTGCTTATCTTGCTATCCCAAAGTCTTGTTATCTTTGATAAAGTCCTATTCACAGAAAGGCAGTGATTGTGCTTATCTTGTTCTTGTTATGCCGAAGTCTTGTTATCTGCTTGTTCTCATCCAAAAAATCCAAAAAAAGTTGTTATCATTCCTAAAGTCCGATACACAGAAGGTACTTCTCATGTTATCTCCCCAAGAAACTTTCCAAAAATGCAAGTTATCCTGATATATTAGTCTCGCTATGATGTTCCACCAAATGGGTGTTTTGTGCCATGTCCGATATTGGACTTCAAAACCAGTTTCCCTAGTGACTCTCTTGAAGCCTAACCAAGGTCACAAATGTGGGTCCACGTTTGCTAAAGACTGACCTTTAACATTGAAAGAAAAGAAATAAAAACTTATTCGTATTTTATAGATTCTAAAGGATAGATTTTAGAGAATCTAAAGTCAAGAAACCTTAGTCATATTGAAGTCATGAATATGACTAATGTCATAATCATGATCAATTTGTGGGTCATGATCCTGAGTCGTATTGAACGCATCCAACTTGTCAAGCTCAATTCCTAAGAGCTTGATCAAACTCATTGTTGAGCAAACAGGATCATGATCATGATCCGTAGGTGCTCAATCACGTACATCCATTACCTCAAGCACCAAACCTCACCTTGAGTCAAAAGCATATGACTCAAGCATACATCTTTGATATTGCATTGCAGAGAAATATTCAAAACCAAACAAAGGGACAAAGATTAAAAAAAACTACCATGCCCACAACATCGAGCAATTTGATGGCTAGATCATGAAACAAATGAACGCTACAAATAGCCGCAACCTCGGAAAAGCGCTTCCGAAAGCGCCTCATTGAAAAGTATCATACAACTTTCAAAAATCGCGGCCATTTCTTCGTTTTGGTTCAAAGCATTTTGAAGAACTTGGGACCTTCTCAATCGGGCCTTCAAAATCGAAAAACCTTTTTCAATTGGGTTCAGATCCGGGCTGTAAGCTGGCAGGTAAACTAGTCTAACACCTCGTGCCTCACAAAGTTCTGCCACCCGACCGTTGTGGTGGATCGGTGCATTATCCATCACCAATACGCTATTACGAGCCGGCCAGGGATTCATTGCCGGTAACTACAAATAAGACATCCATGTCAGTATCATGAAAGCATACAAAAAACATATGACTTACAAGATCATGTTCAAGGAAGTCTTCGAAGTCAATCCGTGCATACCCACCCGCCTGGATCTTACAAGCAATCACTCCATCTAAAGAAATGGCGGGCAATACGGACCATCGAGTAGCATTGGTGGGCCTCTGCAGGCGGCTGGACCTTTGACCAACGGGTGCACGCGCGTAATCTCGAAACAACCGACGCTTGGTAATTGCACTTTCGTCTGAAAGATGAAAACATCCTGAATACATAAACATATAATGAAATTTACAAATTGAAAGAAAAAAAACGTACCAGTGAATACTAGACATCTAGGGTCAATGTCATGAACTGATTGTATGTAGGCTCCTCGTGCAGCCATGGATTGATTGGGATGGACCGTACGGGCCTTTTTCCTGGACCAGGCCAGCCTATTTCGTAGCTCCTTTGAAAGAGTCATGGTTGAGACGTGGATCCCAAAGGTGTCGGTAATTTTCGTTTGGAGCTCATCTAGATAGAGGGTTGGGTCCACTTCAAGCGATTCCATGATGAACTGGTGTTCAGCTGGTCCTAACACGGGTGGAGGGCCTGGTTCCATATGATCCATCGGATTGGTCACAATTGCTCGAGTCGTCCGGTAGAGATGGTACCAACGCCGGACCGAGGTGAGCGCGAGTTGAATGCCGAGTGATTCAACAATCTCACGAAACCGCATCCCTCGAATCACCATGCGCACCACGAGCATCTTGACCTCGGGGCTGTGGATAGGCATCTGGGAACAGGTGAGGAAGGCAAGTGAGGAAGTGTTAACCGAGCCATGAATCATGAGAAAACGAAAAACTAACCACGATAAATGGAATAATGATGGTTTGGACAAACAAGAATGATGATGAGAGAGGCAAAAGAGGGATGTCGAGGTATTGAAAAGATGGTAATGGACGGGAGGAGAATAAGAGGGAAAGGGGAAAAGGGAAAAGGGGAAAGGGAAGACAAGATGTACTTACCCGGCCGTTGCTCGTGTTTCTTTTGACAGCGCACGTCAAAAGTGCCCTTCCATCGAAAGTCCACGTCAGTACATGTAGAGAGGCTGTGGTGACAGCTCACTCACGGTACCAACGGAGACAGATATGGAAAAAAAGGTTTTTTTCAAGATTAAACCGTTTTGGACTAGGTCCCTCGGTGATACTTTTGAGTGAAAGATGCCATCAAATCCTTTAGTCGCTGTACTTATATGTCTACAACACTATTTACAAAAACTCTATTACTTATATGTCTACAACACTAGTGTCAAACTATATACAATTAATTCTGATCTGTGCTTTCTAAATTGTCTCAAATACCTCCATGTGATCTTGTTGATGGTCAAATAATGCTTAATTTCATGGGATGATCTTTACTCTGGATTTAATTCAATCCAGAGTTGAGAGATTATGACTTATTTCAATCCTATTTCTGGTTTCCAATTGACTATTGTTTTAATTTCTTTGTTTTAGACTGAGGTCATAATCAAAAATCAAATGTCTTCAACACATCTCCTTAAACCAAATGATCAAAAAAAAGATTTCACTCATGACCGATTTGTCTGACCCCGGAGTCTGCTTCGATTAAAAAGCCTCACTAAGACTTATATATAGCCAAAAGACAGTGACTCACCAGAATATAATTCAAACAAAAAATGATATTTCTTAAACAACATAAAATTAATATGAGCATATATTTGTATTATTTACATTATGTTTTTGTAACTAAGAAGAAATGAAAAAGAAAAACTCAAGCCCCTTTATAAAAGTTTTCTTCCTCCCAAGTCACAACCAGTATTTTTTTTTTTCGAGTTTTACAAGTTTTAAGCATACATGTACAATAAGAAGTCAAAATTAAATTCAAAACTCAATCAAATCTTCTTCTTTGGTTCACCCGATTTCGTTTTAATACCCTAATTATCAATTATGAAAAAGTCTAAAACTTTAGATATAAGTATGTATGAGAAATCATACAACAATCGAAAAAAAAATATAAAGATTCAAACTCTTTAAAATCGAGTTCTTTGGATCACCTTTCATCTTTATTTTCATTCCAATGTACCCCAATCTTTATCAGCCATAGCTTCATGTCTCAACCTTCTAGCTCGATTCTTATCAACCATTTCATAATCTTCATCATCTGATAAATTATCTTCTAGTCTAATAGTTTGTACCATTCCAGTCAATACGAATAAATGATCCTCTTCGACTGGTAAACCTTTGGGTTTACGATTCGTTGGTTTTTGCAACCTAGGACGAATGTAACCTGTATCAGATTCCGAAAATTCTTCTGAACTTTCGGATTCATCTGAAGATTGATAGAGGTAATCTTCTGCGTCCCAGTTAATCGGTTGACCTTTCCAACATCCTTTCAGTGATAGTGTCTGATGTGAGTTTAGATGATAGGGCGAAAAGTCTTGGTCAATCGTTTGTTCCAGAAGTTCGAGAGAAAAAGTTTAATAGTGTTCACTTGGACTTACGGATAAGTATCGTTTCCAAAGAGGATCCAACTGCAATACAGACGAGTCTCCAATAATGACCAGCGCAGCCTGTGCTCGTGTAATAGCCACATTCATTCGTCTAGGGTTAGACACAAATCCGAGACTATATAGAAATCCAATTGATCAGTCAACTACTTTGGATGTCTTTAGTTCAAGTGAGGATGATCATACCTAAATTTCAAGTCATATTCCAAGTATTCTTGATTACTTCTTACTGTGGATAAAACTATCACTCTACGCTCTTGACCTTGAAATTCCTCTACTGTTCCAACTTTGATCTTTGGATATTGCTTCAAGGCTATCCTGATCTTGCTTGCTTGGGCATTGTATGGCGTGATGACCTAATTGGGTATGACACAGAAAAGGAAACGTGAGTAATTTTGAACGACTTGTATGCAGTGCAGGCTAAAGGTACTGACGCCAATGTCTTGATCAGTCAATCTGAATCGTCTGTCCTCTTTCAATCTACATAGGCCAAATCATTCGGTTAGGTCATTTTCAAAATTTGGTTTTCATACAAAAGGATATTCACGTACGATTCAACATATCTCTTCACCTCAACAACCTCGAGCAAATTAAAGAAACTAGGAGAACCACTCTCTCGAAGATCTTCTCCTGGTACGTTATGAAATGCGATAGGAGTTTTACCGATCGGTAATTCTTCCCATCTTTCTAAACTGGTCGTGAGCATGGGATCTGCACATGCTGTCAAATCGCCTTCATAGACTGTATCATCATATTAAAAAAACAGAACCGCGCGTGCGTTCATTAATCTGTCTGTATGAAGAAGCAGATGATCGTATACTTACATTCTTTGTTTGGAAATTCAAGAATGGAAGGATGCGATCGATAGTTTTGAGTCAATTTGGAGATCGTTGATGAATATCGATTAGGAAGCATATGATAAACTTTTAATTCAATGAATCGAGCAAGAAGACTTTTGTCTAATCCCAGTGCAGCAGCGACAGGTGATCGAACGATTGGCCCTGGAAGATGTCAAGGTGGACAATTAGTATTTAACCATGTAGTTAGTAAAGCGCAAAGAATAGAAACTCACCAAGTTGATGAGGATCACCTGCAAGGATGATTTCTGTGCCTGGTTTCTGTAGTGTTTTCATTGGTACCATAACCTATCAGATTTCAATCAAGTTAGTGAATTACTTTCGAGATGATGAGGAAAGCAGCCCTATAATTGAATCACACGTACCTCCGGTTCCAAAGCTTGTCCAGCCTCATCTATCATTACATGCGTGTAATGACCAGCAGGAACACCCACACCTGCCAGGACTCCAGCAGAAAGACAGGTGGAGATAACGACTCGGTATCTTTTGAGGACTTCAAGTTCTGGAGTACAGAATGGACCATCGCGTCCGTTTCTACAAACCACCTTTTCTAAGCCAGGCGTAAGGGTGATGGTGGCTCGAGTAGGTGCGCAGAATCGAAAGAGTGAGGCTTTCAAACCAGCCTGTAGAAGTCTTAAGGCTAATTGATCAGCAGCTGCGTTCGAGGGAGCTGCCATGAGAATCCGAGTGGATGGGTTCTCGCACAGCTGTAATACAGCCTCAACCAAGACCTGTTAGAAATTCAATCGTCAGTAGACGTTTAAACCTCAAGATAATTTCAATAAACCAACGGCAGTCTTTCCAGTCCCGGGAGGTCCAAACACAATGAAGGGTATATCCGGATGACGACGAGTGAGGATATTGGCAATTGCATCTTGTTGAGGTGGGTTGGTTTCGAAATTTCGATTGAAAAAACGAATGGTTTTGCGTTCAGCTTCAGTCGGAGCTGAAAGGATTCTATGACGTGGTAAGTCTGGAAAGATCGACAGAGGCTGTTGTGCCTTCAACATGACAGCTTGATGCATTCGACGTAAGACTGTTCTGGATAGACTGAATTGAACATCGAATTTCTGACCCCTGTGATGAGAGTGAGTCGAAAAATATATCACAATCAGAACTGTTTTTGAAATATACTTGACTCAGAGGTAGTGAGAAGATCAAAAGCTGATGGACGTACTGCAATGCGCTAAAGTTTGGGTGAAATTTGAGTTGAAGTTTGGTCGCCTCTACTTTGTGAACACGTCCACCGTACCATGTGCCTTCGACATCCCCTGATGGACGGAAAAGGACTTGATCTCCATATAATACCGATGGTCGCTTTTCGGCCAGTCCAGGTACGTCAAGACTGTGTATATGGATTTGGAAAAAATGATACGCGATGGTGAGAGATCCGATTTATAGGTCAGACCATGGAAGAACCTTACCTGTACAATGAGTCATTCTTGACGCGCGCGATGGAAACGCCCTTGATATCATATCGACGTATGTCCTCCCTGATCAAACATGAATTGGATCAGTACTGTGCAGGTCAAATTTGAACAGAAGGGCGATAATACGTGGAGTTTGCCTAACCTCATCTGTGTCTCCTCAATCCAAAGAACACCCTGCCACCACTTTGAATAATTCGATAAAGAGAATTCTGATGGGATCACACCAGCATTGGTGGCCCATTGAATAGTCCTGCGAGTCCCACCCCCGGTGCTGTTCAATCCACGCGTGATCCATCTTGGCAAATCGTAAAAAGGAAGTGATCCTGTCCATTTCACAGCTGCCAATGGAGGTGGCATGACACCGTCTACAATTTCATCGGCTATTTCAGTAGAAGGTAACCATAATGAAGCCACATAGGGTGCCACCGGTTTAAGTTCTTCCATAAGTGCTTCATCAGATACGATAGCAAGAAGTGGTCGAGAAATTTTAAAAGTATCTCCTGTGCCAGGAATTTCGAAATAAAATTCAAGTGTATCGACATGTTTACCAGTGATTCCTTTAGGTTGAAAGTTGATTTCGATACTCGTTTGATCAGAGTCATTACAATCCAGTTGTAACGGAAATTCAATGACTTGTGGGTGAAATTTGCTCAAAACTGAAGAATGACCTCGACGAGATCTAGCTGACAAAGTTTTAATACCTTTAAGCCAGACAACAGGTTCGAAATGAGATCGTTGATTGAAGATTCTTATGGTTTGAGTTAAAGATTTCAGTTTGTTATCACGAATTGAGCGAGTATCGAGTGATCCAAAATTGATTTCATCAGGAAAGATGACTATCCCCTGTTTGTTCTGTTCAGAGTCCCGCACCAAACCGCGATAACGTTCGTATCTAGCTTTTCTAATGTGACGCGGCGTAGAAGCGTGTCGAGCCGGATTAGGAGCATAAACATCGCATATTTCACAACGAGGTCCTTGTGGTTTTGGAAGATTATTGACCAGTTGAGGCGCGACTTGTTGAAGCTGAGCTGTAACTTGACGATGTTGCTTTCCATTGAGATGTTGTTTATAACTGAATTGAGTCGTCACAAACACTCGACAAGGTTCACAATGTATGAGTTTATGTTGGTATGGACAATCCTCGATAGGACACGATCCAGTATCGAGCAGATTTCGACAGGCTTTGAAACGGGGAGGAACAGGCATGATGATGATGATGAAGATGGATGAAGATGATAACAGACAGATAGATTTAAGTTTTAACGCGATAAGATCGATGGAAAGTTAACAGAAAGAAATAAATGAACAAATTAGGAAATTGAAAAGAAGAAAGAAGAGTCAGTAAATAAAGTAAGCTAAAAAGATCAAAAAAGTAAAAGAGATGGTCGAGTGAAGCAAAGGGGTTGAACTTGACAACGAAGAAGTCAAGACTAAAAAAGGATGAATGTGTCCAATTTATTAAGTGTAGTCAAGCCTAAGTTCAGAATCATAAAAAGACCCTTTCTACCCATTCAAGGTTAATCATCAATCAATCATCCATCATCAAAAATATCCTACATCAACCTTTAAAAGCCCTACAGAACATATCTTCCACAATCACAATCGTCAATAAACTCAAAGGATGAATGATCGGATGGGTCAATCTATCACAAAGTTTTACATAATCCAAACTACCAATCCATTCAAACCCATTCAACTTCCTTTCCTTCCATGTACCGCCTTTTGACCCTAATTAAAGTAAGACTCACATCATGATCAGACATCAAAATTGACTCGTGAGCTTTGTTAAGAGATCATAGGTATACTCTATCAAACAAAATAGATTATCAATCTAATAGATAGAAAAATCTTACCTACATATCCGCTTTATCATCAATTCAAACAAACTTGTCTCAGCTGACATAGAACATGATTGACTCAGTCTCGAGGAGTGTCGAAAGAACTCACTTTAGAACCTTTCTTTTGCCCTCGAAGAAGATTCTATTTAATGTGACCTCTAAGTCATCTTTTTACTTCGTATAGATTTCTTAGGAGAATGGATACTTGGTTATATCTGAATCAATCTAACTTTTCTTTCCAACCTACTTTATCATATAAAAATAAGTTCGGGCCCTGAGGCTAAACTCACAAGAGGGACATTTAGCCAGAATCGGGGCATAGAGTGCTTGTAATCTCCAAGAGAGTTATGTCTAAATAATTGTGCAACTTGACTCAAAGCCATAACAAAAGGTTCGGTATGGAGTGGCCTGAAAAGAAAGTATCATAAAGAAGGAAGAGGTGGGTGTGAACTAAAAAAAAATGTATTTATATAAAAGAACAAGAGATATAAAGATATAAACGTGATGATTAAAATCAGGACTCTCACTAGAATACTTGTGAGAAAATTGAGTAAAGAAGCGTTAAAAACTGAGAAGAATCTGAAGTTCAAATCATCCACAGATCAAATGAAGAATCATCTCGATTCTAAATGGTAAAGAGACTCATCAAGATGAGATGGTAAAAAGGTAATCTCACATATCACGGGCTTTACTCATGTTCGTTGACGCGACGTCACTCAAGAAGCGCCTGTGACTTATTCTCGTATCTAGAAGCGCGCTCCTACATAGTGCCCATGCATCAATCTTTTTCTACTCCCATCTTCACGTGCACGAGGCTCAGGGTGATCAATATAAATCAATGATTTTTTAAACAAAACAAGAAAAAAACAAAACAAAAACACAACTATCTCCTTCAAAGGAGAGAAGAAACAAAAGAAAAAAAACCCTTATTGAAAACGAACGTATAAAAAGCTTCTTCTTCTTCATCATCGTATATAAACCCAAAACCAATCAAAAAAAAAAAAAAAAAATTCATATAAGATTTTTTTTTTTGGTTTATATAATAGTTCAAACTACTTTTCAATCAATTTATTCAAAAGGGAAAAAAGAAAAAGAACAATCAAAGAAAAAAAAAACTGACATAAAACGAGTGTTAATAAACAAAATAAAGAATCAAGATTTTTAAAATAGAACAAACAAAACCATCAAGAAAAGAAAAGAAAAAAAAATCACACTTAAAATCTCCTAATTTTCAACTTTCAACTTCCCTTTTACCCAAAAACCAAGACGCAAGACGCAAGACGCAAGACCAAAAAAAACATAAAGTCTCAAAACCCTTCATACATACCTATAGTACCTAACCCATGAAATCCATCATGAAATTCACCTAAAGATCTTAGAAAGGATTCCACTAAACCTATGATGATCTTTACTTCCGACTTTCTTCTCTGAAGGTTCATTCAAAGTTTTCGATCGATTAGATGGTGGTGTTTGTTTCTTTAAAGCTTGACTCGAATTAGGTGAATAACCAATCCCACCTGAATCTAATTCTTTGGTACTCGTACTTATACTCGTCATCTTCTTAGTCGTCCCTTTTGTAAAGTTATTATTCACTAATCTCCAAGTAGCTTCACTTTGTGGTGTTGATCGAGTTGAAGGCGGTTTGAAAGCTGATTCATTCTTCTTATTTAACATTGTACGTTTAAATAATTTAAGTGCTGATAAACCTGAGTTCGTATTCGATTGAGTTTCGGTATTCTATTTTTGATTGGGAAAAAAAGACATGCATAAGTTCAAGTTTCAACTCTCAAGTGTAGGGAAAAAAAGTAAAAGAATTAGAGACTTGCTTGACTAGCAACCCTAGTAATCACTTCTTCACCTTTACATTCACTTTTCTCAACTTCCTCGCTCATTTTTTTCTCAACCACTTCTGGTTCTTGATCTTGCACCGATTGTTGTTGTTGTTGGGGTGCTTGCGGTTGCGGTTGCGGTTGTGGTTCTTGACTTCCATCAACTTGTTCAGGTGAAGTAGAAGAAACCTCTTTGTTTGGACTAGTATTAACAATATCTTGATATTTACTCAAATCAGGTAATGGTTCTTTTAAATGAAGTTGATTGGAATGTCTACCATTCCAACTATTCACGGCTTTCTGTTTCAATCCACTCAATGATCGTTTTTTCTTCAAGGTCGATTTCACTGCTGATACTTTCTCTTCGATGATCTCTTCTGTAATCGTAAAGGATGGTTTAAGAGTTTTGGATTTATCGCTTGGTTTGTTTAATTCTTTTCGAGTATTCAATGATTTGAAAAACATTTTGGACATCGATCTGGATCTGTTCACAGATGCAGCTGGTGACTCTTTTGATTGGGTATCATTAAGGGGTTGTGAAGAGTTAGCGTCAACAGGTATGGTATCTGTTTGGGGTAAAGTAGCTGAAGTGGTCAATTCATCAGGTCTATCATTTGTAGGCGGAGGTGTAGGTGGATTGATCAGTTCAGCAGTGATGGTGGTAGGTTCGTTTGCTGTATTATCAGTAGCCGCAGGTGTAGGCGCAATTAGTTCGGCAGTGATAGTAGTAGGTTCCTTGGGTACATTATCAACAAGTTCGATTTGTGAGGAAGTGGTATGTTCCATAACTTTTCCTTCCATTTCCACATTGGTATCTTGAGAATCAGATCCAGGAGTAGATGATATCAAGGATGAAATGACGGGTTGTGGAGATTGAGGAGTGATGGTTTGACTACTTGTATCATCTAAAACCATCTTCACAAGACCAGTATCCGAACCGAATTGATGAGACTCTACAGAGACAATATCTTGAGCATCTAAGGTGGACGGTTGCATGACTTTCTCAATCGGTTCGGAAAGCGAGAGGTCCTCTTGCACCGAGGAAGCTAGATCGGTAGCATCGACTGTTGGTAAAGGTACCGCAGTAGTTTCCACCTTAGCTGAATCATGTTCGACATCGTTCTTCAAGTGCTGTGAGAGGAAGCCATGGTCAACTCTTTCGTCACTTGGATCTGAGGTGACATGATCTCCAAAACTTACATCGGATAAAGATGAAACACGTTCTTTATTCAAGTTCTGGTCAACGACTGGAGTAAGAGCCTCCTCTGTTCCGGATGCTAGAGACTTGTTGGCTAGAGAATGAGATCCTGTCGATCGATCCGCTTGTGGCACAAGCAGAGCTGCACCCACTTCAGAGCTCGTCATCGAGCTTGATAGAATTGCAGTTTCGAAATCCGGTCGGGAATGCGACTTGGATGTCATAAAAGTATCATCATTGGTACAGCCACTTGAGGATGTAAGTACTGTATTAGACGTGGGGATGGCGTCCAATGAGACTACGTGATCAGAAGATGTCTCTGATGAAGCGATAGAATTAGATGTGGTCCTGTTGGGTTCATCTGTCGAAGCCAGACTGGTAGGAACTTCTTCATCGGTATATTGCAAGGTAGACTCTACATCGCTTGCTAAAGGCTGAGTGGTGATTAGGAAAGATGGGATCATAAGTTCAGGTTCGACGGACGGTGAAGGAGATTTAGGGTGAGCATTCAAGGTAATGGGTTGCGACCATTGATCTTACATTTGTCTCCATATGACAAGAATCTTCTTTCTGAATCGAGGAGGATGTGACTGGATTTGAACGATGCCAAAGCAGATATGGTTAGTTCGTCTTGGTTGAAAGCTTCACGCAACTGATTCACTCACCATCCGTATCATTATGATCGGCTTGAAGGTCCGCTTTGACAAAGCCAAGGGGAGATGCATCTGAAGGTAAATTAGACGCGTTTATCTCAGAGAGAGGCTGATCAACAGCTAATACGAACAGGAAGGGTCAGGTTGATGGCCAACATTAAGACGCGTCACGTGAATATCCTTACCATGAATCTCTGGATTGTTTTGATCATCAGGATGAGCTTCCTCCTTGGATTCAGATACCTTTCGATCAAGCTGACCTTCAAATCCATTAGGGTGAGCAAGAGTAGGTGTGATTTGACATAAACTGTCGTTTAGATCAGAATTGATTGAAGTAGGACTAGTGATCGGTTGGGCTCTGATAGGATCGATTAAACTTATTTGACTTTCGATCCCAGTAGATTGTTGTGATAAACTTTCTACACAATGTCTTCCGTTGGATTCCATATCACTTTGATGATCGTGATCGTGATCGGTTTTTTGATCTGGGGTATCATCATCTGTATCTTGTGGTATTGCTTCTTGTTTCAAATCCTTTACAGATTCTGAAGTCAAATCTACAGATGGTTTGGTAACTCGATCCTCTTTCGACGCGTCGATGGTATCACTTTGCTCTGGTAGAGAGCATGGTGGTAGTCTTGGACTGAAGACTTCTGACGAAGGATCCAAACCCGAGGCTTAGAGAAGGAGAAAGGAAAAGAGAATAGTTTGAATGTCTGTTGACCAAGTATATGCATTGAAAAACGAAATTCAAGATGAAGTACTGACCATTCTTCGAATACGAATTGGTTAATCCCAAACTACCCACTTCCAGTTTCGAAGCCAATGGGTTCGGGCTATAGAAAAAAATCAAAACATCAATCTTTTAAATCAGTAGACCGTCAAGTTGAAGAAATGGAACTAACTTGATAGCATCGATCATAGTCAGGCTTTGATTCATATTGGATTGATGATCTTGATCTGAAAGTAAAGTAGAAAGATGTCGATCTAAAGCTTGTAAACTTAATTCGCCTTGTTCTTCTTCTAATTGATGATTTTGATTTGGAAAGTTTTGATTTGATTGAGAATCGATTGGAGTATCAAGAGCAGTTAAATAGCCTATAGAGTGTAAAAATGATAATGATAACGGTATGAAGGTTAGAAAAGATTATTAATGATTTTGATTGTTAAAAGTTTTGAAAAAACACGAAAAAGAGTTGACTGATATTATGATTATTAGTGAGATTATTATGATTATGAATTAATGTGAACTGAATAGAGAAATAGGTGGATAAGTGGAGGAAGTAAAGTAGAAGAATGAAGAACAATTTGTTTAAATCCAAAGAAATATAGAGATAGAAATGGAGAGATAAGGTATGTATCTACAACACCATCATCATCATTGGTCTCAATTCACGGATGAATTGAAAAATGAGAATTGATGGATGGATTGATGGACAGAAGGATTGATGATGATATATAGATGAAACGTCATAACTAACAAGATTTCTTAGTACTCTATGAACTAAAATGTAGAATGGATTGGAAAAAATGATAGATAGCTCCGAAAGGAAACCAAGAAGATGACACTGACCTTCATCAAGATTGATCGACGTTCGACTGGTACTAGGTGATCTGTCCACCCAACTTTTTGCATCGGTATATAGACTTTGAGCGCCTTTAGTTGATTGCTCTGGATCAGAACCTTTGGTTGACATTGAATTGTCCTTATGAATCTTTTGATCAGAATCGGGTATAGCGTCAGTAGTATTAGAAACAGTAGGTAAACTTGAAAGACGGATTGATGAAGTGTCGTTAGGAACTGAATCCGAACGTTCTGAAGTTGATGATGATATGGTTGTTGTTGCTAAGTTCATAGTATCATCTTGATTGGTTGAAGAATCTTGTTTTTCCCGATTTTCTGATTGCACTTTCTTTCCGTTACCAGACTTTCGTTTGTTTTTCTTTTTGTTGGGCATTTTGGTTTAAAGGATAGTAAGGATGATGATGATGAGATTTGAAGTTGATTGATCGAGGTCAAAGTTTATTGACCTGTGACTAGGGTGAGCTGAAAGAAAGAAACCCCAATGTGAATGAAATTTAAGATCGTATACTACCAATTCAATAGGCTAAACTTGTATTTTATTTTTGCCTCGAGACAAATAATGTGTACATATGTAATTAAGATCCAATTGACTTCTTTCTTTCCACAGTTCTTCACTTCTATTTGAATGTGGAATAGATTTAAATTCCTGACTTAAGATCGCATCATCCACAGTCATCCGAATGGAAGCCTGAAGTGAAATCAAATTCAAGAAACTTATGAAGGATAAGATTACATACATCAAAAATGGATCCATCAACACATTCTCAGCCGACGTTTAAGGAAGTTGATCTGAGCTCTTTGTGAAGCCCAAAAATCATTTCGAGATCAGAGAGACAAAAAGTCACAGCTATGCAGGTTGAACTTGTTTGAATGACACCGCTCACAGCGTTGAGGAATTTTGGTTAAGTTAGCCAAGAGTCAAAAGATCAAGAGGTTAGCTGTTAGATGACCCAATATAATTTCCATGATAAAGCTTTGGATATATTTTACACAGTCAAGTTGAGTTCTCTTTGATTCCACAGCTGTTTAGAATCTGATGATCGATTGGGGTCAAGGTCATAGACCATCTGCCCTGGATTTTGATGACACAATATCATTTTGGATAATTTCAATCAAGAGCTCAATTTGATTGGTATGTAAACAAGATAGAAAATAACTTTGTCAAAATCAAACATTTCATGATATCAAATCAAGCGAGATTGTTATCTGTCAGTTTATGAAAGCAAGCGGAAAGACTCGATACGTTGAACCTTGGATCGTGTCCACATAAAATCGAACCAAGATCCAATTTACCTTCATCTCGAGCCTTCTCTCTTTGAAAATCTTACATTTAATGACGATGAGATTTATTATGAAGTAAATAACCATCAATCGTATTTGTCGTCTGACTATAATTCTTCAATGATACCGATAGACTGAATCAACTGTATGTATGTGAATCTGGCTGGCTCTTCGAGGAATCCAGGTGATCTAAAGAGATCTGAAGAAACAAATCAGGTTGCTCACCATCAACGTTTTACGAAAATGTATTTACAGGAACTGTTGTTTAGCTATCAAAGTACAGTTTCACTTTCACTTTCACTTTGAGTTTGAAGCTTGGATTGGTTTTTTTGGATCGATCGAATCAATTACAGAGACAACAAAAATGGAATCCACGAAACCACAAACAACCGATCAAACTCAATCACAAGCACAAGCACAAGCACAAGCATATCATCAATTAGATCCAACACCACCACCACCACCTACCCTAACATTCTCAATCAATGAAACTATAGTCGTCAAACCAGATTTAAGACATATCGAATTAGATATCGAAAGAGATTTAAAAGAAACCCAAAACATTAAATTAGATTCAGATTATCAATTATGTCCAAGATACCTTAAATCATTAAGCAATCCAACATCGATTGGAACCGGAACAGGATCAGGATCGAGTTGTGAATTAGGTTCGAAATGTCAATTAAGACATTCCAAACCATCATCCTTAAACTTTATAATCTCAACCCAAAACTCATCATCTAATCAACCTAATCCAACACTTCATGCTAAAACGGTTTGTAAACATTGGTTAAGAGGTTTATGTAAAAAAGGAAACAGTTGTGAATTCTTACATGAATATAATCTAAGAACTATGCCGGAATGTTGGTTTTTCGGTAAGTATGGGTTTTGTAGTAATGGGGATGAATGTATGTATTTACATGTAGATGAACGGATGAGAGTTTTAGAATGTATGGATTACAGAAGAGGCTTTTGTTCAAAAGGTAAGTGGTATCCTTCACCAAAAAAAATCATTCAAAATCGATCATTGATTTCTTGAAATTGATAACTAATGTCGTTTGTTTTTTTGATTATAGGTCCAACTTGTTCACAAAAACATATTCGTAGACCGATTTGTCAATCTTATATCATTGGGTTTTGTCCATCAGGTAAAAATTGTAATCAAGGAGGTCATCCGAAATTCGAAGTAGATCCTTCACCACGTGGGAATCCATATATCAATTCGTTTAATCCGTTTGACAGACCACGTGGTGATCCAGATCGTGGGGTAGGGGCTCCTAGAGGTGGTAGGATCGGTATGAATCCTTTGGCTAGTTTGATGGGTAATAATAATTCAGTCCAACCTTTAAAATCGTTTGCTGATAGGGATGGGAATGGTCAAGGTAATGGGAATGGGAATGGGAATGGAAATGGTGGGGATGATGGATGGGTTCAAACTGATTCTGGACCTAGGAAGAAACGTAATTTGGATGAAGTGACTTGTTTCAAGGTGATTTTCAATCTTTTTTTCTTCAACTTCATCTATATTCTTGGGTGTCTAGCTCTTTACCAATCTTAAGCTTTTTTTACTGATTGGTAATTTTTTTCTTTCACAGTGCGGTCAAAGAGGACATTATGCAAATACATGTCCAAATCCAATGGTACCTGGTAACAGAGGTGGAGTAGTACGAGGACCGGGAGGAAGACTATTAGGGGAAGATGAAGTGATGTTGTAAAGTATTAAGAAAAAAGCATTTCCTCCAAACATGGTTTTTTTTTCGTCTGTGTCTTTGGTCATCGAAACAAAAAAAACGTTTATAGATCTTTGTTTATATAGGTAGATCTTTGTTTATATTTCAATTTGTTTGATATTCCTTATATATACCAAGTTTTTTGATATCTTATTCCTAAATAATTTAAATGTAATGATTACAAGTTTTGTTTTAAAAAGTTTCATTGGATTCGATTTGTTTCTAGATATATTTAACTCAAATCTTGATTACCTATCAATCGATGAAAATATCATTGACTTGGTAATGGTACGCGATGATCGTTAAGTGATAGACAGTAAATACATTAATCAAGCGAGTTAGACATACCAAATCACAATTGAATCAAGGAATTATAAACGGTCAAGAAAACAAAGTGATCGGATTCAAGTTTAGGTCTAAATGATGAGATATATCTTTGATAAGTGAAGGTAAGATTCAAAGAATCACATAGTAGGACAACAATCTAGAGTGATTTTGAGTACAATGGTGACTTAATGAGTTTGATTTCCGTGCAATAAAATTTGTGTTCTGAAGTGGTGATACTAAAACATCTCGTTGATCATCATCTTTGAGCTTCTTCCTATGTGCTTTCGGCGAGAGCAAGCCACAAGACTTTAGTCGATCTGGTGGTTCAGGAGAAGCTGTGAGCAGAAACCAGACGGTGAGATGAGAGGAACCTTGATCAAGAGCTACTTATATGATAATACGGTATGAGATTATAAGCTCACAAGCTATCAGTCTCACAAACCAACAACCCTTCTCCTTCCTTCGTTCTTGGTTTTGTCTTGATTATCTAGATTTTTTTTAATCAGATAAGATCACTAATCTTGTTGCGCTCTGGTAGATTTTGATCGTTTGTTCTGATCGAATTAGATCACTCATGTTTTGTTATGCTTATTCAATTCTTATCATTATTTGTTTTTGATCTAGCAATACGAGGTCTTTGCCACTGCCATGCGCGAACCTACTCCACATTGTAGTTCAATTTCAAATCAAATCAAGACATGTTAGCTTCACAATCGCCCACGGTGCATTCGTAGAATGCAGCCCTTTGGACGCGCAATAAACCTCTAGGCTCTATGTACAAAGAGTTTTTAACAGAAGCTGATGAAAGCTTGCAAACAATTGATTAGTCCTCGTGACCGGTTCCCCTTGTGACGGCTCGTGGCGACCAGCCCGAACAAATTCGATGAGTTCGAACTTCATGAAGCACTCTCGGAAAAATACCCCTTCCGAGATCTTTGAGAAAACTTCATCTTGAAAAGCTCGGATTCTTGTTCAGTACCGTCTGTATTTGTACAAAAATACCCCATGTAGCGTTCTAAAGGGTCCCAAGTGGCTGACCACGCACCCGTGCCTAGAGTTATAGCCTGATCGGTTTATCATGAATAAATTAGGCGTGAGATGGAGTCACAATATTTACATTCGTCGTCGGTATACGTGGACTACCTAAATGAAGCTACTTTGCTGAAAAAGAAACCTCAGCAAGATCAATTTTCGCTCTCCCACTAGATCACTATCGGTTATTTCTGCGCTGTTAACTTCAAAAAGACTTTGAACTTCCAGTCGCTCTTCAACTTGTGGAACAGATTGATATCTTCCATTGCGAAATATGTCTTACAAACCATTCATCCCGATCGTTCATCTTTTGTTCGTTTGCTTGCTCGCCGGAAACCTAGGGTCTCATACTGGCGTAGCGGCTGGTACTACAACAAATCAAGTATGTACCTCAGAGTGGGTTCCACCGGCAAACGGCGGGCAAGCAAGTCAGTCCAACATTTCTCTTCGGTCTTTCCCTTTTTGACTTCTTCAAAATATATTATTCTCTGATGTCTGAGGGTATCGTGAACTGACATCACTCATTAAACAACTTGATGAAAAACCCATATTCAAAGTCTGCGGAAATGGATCGGGGAATTATGAATGCAAGGCGTGTGCAAAGAGAGTCCCCAGTAAGATCGATTTCTCTCCTTTCCAATGGATAGAGAATGTAGAGCGACGGTTTACCATTTTTTGGTTTGGATCATACAGCTGCTATTGAATGCATTGACGTAGATGGTCACCCAAGGAACAACGGGGGCTCATGGAATTGTGATGCTTCATACGACACTTTGGCAAAGAAACGTGATGACGGCCGGAATTTCTGTCAGTCGTTTTCCAATTTTCAATCCAAGTATTTTGGCTACGTATATTCGAGATAGCTTGAGACACTGAATCCAGAGAATTCAGTGGAACATGGAATTTAAGACCATAATACTAACGCATTCTGGTTGTTTCTTGAATCTTGAAAAATAAAGTGTGCGGACACATTATTGATACCCATGGAGGGTCGGCACCGAACTGGTGCAGGAAAATGGACGTAGTTCAAAGTAAGTATAATTTCTAAAACTCCTTTATGGTCAAACAGATGGCATTCACTCGTCACCAACTGGCCCTTCCTATGGCTCGAAATTGACGATGTTTGCATCTAGAATGTACGGGGTGTCATTTGCCAGGACACAATTAATTAAGTCCCATCGAGCCGGGGTTTATACATAGCAAGCGATGACCGAGGCACGAGCAACTTACTCCTTACCCCGGCCATATGGCGTGGTTCATTGAGAAATGCAGTAGGGTGAAACTGGATCTCCTCTATCCCCAGCTTCCCATTGTTGACTGTTTCGGAAAAACGGGGAGCCTGCAGCGCCTCCTTCTCCATCTTTCTGTCTATTCACTTTCCCATTTTCTTCTGCCATGCTTTTTTTTTCTCAACACTGCAAAGAAGGTGATCCTGAAATTCAGAGAAATGTTTGTGCTGCGAGATTGTTGCACGACACATACAGAAATCAAATTTCAAAATCACAATGTGTAAGGTATGGAAGTGTAGAGAGTGAGGGCAGTGGAGAGATACGGAAAGCATAGCGTCAGACTTGTTCCTTTATTCACAGTTCCCAAATTCCTTGGCTTGCGGTTAGTTTTCAAAACTTGGAAACTAGCTGCCACTCTCATCTGCCCCCAAACCCAGAGGTGCATTGTGGCCCCTCAAAAGGTATCATTTACAGGAGAGAATTCTGACTACGTACAGGTTTTTTCTAAGGTCACGTGACCCAAAATTTACCTCGTCCACTTCATTATCCTAAATTTTTTACCATCATCATTGGTAGTGCTGGGGTTGTCAGGGAAATTTGGTATCGCTGACTCATTGATGGCCAAAGTGGGCATAGGCACATCACTTCCAGGGGTAGTAGTTGGTTTTGTATGTCCGGGATCAATCTTGATGCTTCTCAACCCAGATTTCACCACGAGCGCAAGCTTATGTGCGAAACACCGCACGTGATTGGCTTTTGAATCTCATTGAACAGGTTCCGCACACTCTGCAAATATTTGTGACATCTCAACTGCCATGGTGTTGTTGTTAGCACCTGAATCAGTTGACTGGGCAAGCATGTAAGGAAAGATCAAATAATTAGTGGACGGCATTTTGAAAGATTGTAAAAGTTTGATGCCTATCTTTTTGTGTAGGCTGTGTCAAACAAGAAAAAGGGCGATTGGTTGAGCAAGTAATACTCCAAAATGGTTCCAAGTAACGAGTTTGAGCGTAAGATGTCGGACGCAATATTTCCAGTCCTTATTGATGTAAGATACACTTGCGCCAATAAATGCATGTCGTCGGCCTTTACACTACAAATATAATGTGTTTCTCAAAGGTGAAAAATGATTACATTTAACTTACAAAATGATTAAAAGTGCATTAAATCTGCATTATATATGCATTTTTCAGCATTTTTCAGCATTATTAATCATTTTGTGCATTAAGTTCAATCTTTTTTTACCTCAGAGAAACATATTATATTTGCAGTGTTAGTGGTCCACCCGTCATGCATCAACCAAAAGGAACTATCATTCTCCTGAGGAATAAACACATCAGAAAAGATAAAAGGTAAAAGAATCCAAAGAAAAAAACACAAACCAAAATTTCTTTCAAGACACTCTTTTGCAGTCCAGTATATAAGCCCTGAGCTGCTTGAGATGCCCAGGTACGTGAGTATATTGTTCTCAATGGATTTGAAAACCATAACACTGCACAAAGTGTTATGTCTTCAAAATGTGACCAAGGAAGAGCGTGTCAAAGTATCCAAATAACCAGCATGAGGTTCAGATTCTTCGTACCAAAGGTCTGCTTGACAACAAACTGGTCCAATGTGTTCAATTGTTGTTTTTCTGCCTTCTGTTTGTCTTGCCAAGACACATCCAACTTGAATACTTGTTTGATGGCCACATGGCGTTTGGTGCAAACAGGTTGAGTTCGGGCGCCATCTCGATGGCCGTATAACATCTGATAAGTATTTGGACATTTGGCAAAAGATTCACCACAAAACCGGCACTTGTAGTACCTCAGTACTCCGCTGCCAATCTGAATATAAGTTGAATCAGTTTCTAAACATCATTAGGACACAAAACGTCCAAGAAAGCTTGCGACTTACTTCATCTGGACATTCCGTTGGATTTTTGTAGTACTTCAGGAGCTCACGTACACAAGCAGTACACCTGTGAGGGTTGGGTACTCTTTGAGAGTGCTCTATGCTCACTTAAGTTGGAAAATGGGTAGTGTAGTAATGAAATTTGATTCTTTATTTCAAATGTGTAGTATTTACAAAATGAAATAAAGAAAAGAAAGAAAGTAAAAGAGACTGATAGTCTGTTTGGATAAGTCCAGACAGACTACAGTTAGATGACTCCTTGAAAGGAGGTTTGATTTATAATTAATAATTATTATAAAGTACGAAGGCTGGATCCAAGGCCCTCCTTTAATCTTTAAAGTAACAGATTAAAGAGTGAGGTGAAGGTCACTAGTCTGGTTGTTACAAAGTCACCAACTTATGGTTATTCAGAAGGTACACCAACCTGAGAGTTGATATAGGTCACTAACCTACGGTTGTTCAGAAGGTACACCAACCTGTGAGTTGATATAGGTCACTAACCTGTAGTTGTTCAAGAGGTAACTAACCTTGAAGTTAATTGGAAGGTCACTAACCTAGAAATGTTCTACTTAGGGAAAGTAGAGGATCCAGAAAGGGGAAGAAAGAGATTACTTTATCTTTTAGTCAGGAAGCTGCTTTAAAGATATGAAGTGAATCACTAGTCTTATTATTATAAGACTTTTGATTATGTACTTCAATTGAACTTTAAAGGGTTCTTTAAAAGATGTGTGTAATAAATTGCTTGGGGGATTTTCTTGAATGCTGAGAGAGGAGGGGATTATATACTCTCCTCTCTAAACCTAACTGTAGTGGTATTTGTTTGTATCACAACATTGGTTTAGGGTTTGTTGTTAATGATTGTTATGATCATTATTAATTATGCTTAATTACATATACACACTAAGTATATTATGTAGTATAAGCATTCGAAACCAAAGCATTTTAACTCTTGACACTGAGTCATGAGGTGTTAATGATGTTTTATAACATACTACATGTGGTTTTAAGTGTAGATGTATATGTAATTAATATTTTTATGTGTTTTATTACATGTTACATACTGTCTATTGGCCGTATGTATATGTAATTAGGTTTGTATATGATAATTCTTTATTGCAAGTTAGTTTTGGGTACATGTATATGTACTCAGGGCTGACAACACCCCTCGTTTGTTGGTTCTGCTTTTCTTTTGCCAGTGACCTCAATATCGGAATCCCGGTAAATGTCCAGCCCTTTAGGGACTTGATTGGGTTTAGTTTTCTGATTATGAGGTACAGTAGAGATGATTAACTTGTAAAGGTGACAATGATCAAATTACACAATTACATTTTGTGTTGCTTGCCGCTCACAGCCGGTTTGTGTAGAAGCCGCCTCTTTTTGTTGCCTTGTGGCCGGGATTGATGGATTTGACTCAACTTCTGATTGAGTAGATTGGTTTGATGCCATGTTTGGTTTATTGGTGGAGGGATATGAAGGTACTACTGAGTCAATAGTGGATTCTAGGTCACTAGATATAGAAGGTTGAGGTAAATCCAAATAGAAGATTGCACTGGAGTCTGAGACTTGCGAACAGTATCTAAAATTGGTTAGTGTGGGAGTTGGCTCATCTTTGATAGCCTGAAAGAGTTGTAGAAGCCAGGGGTTGATTTGTGTGGGTGTCATTGTGAGTTGACTAGAGCAAATTGAGCAAAATCTTGATCGCTTCTGGCCTTGCAAGAGGTAGTCTTGAACGCCTAGGCTTGAACCAATATGACCTATATCATATCGGTTCAAGCCTGGAATAACGCTGTATTATATTGGCAATACCCAATATGTAAAAAAAAAATTCCCATGTTGGGTCGGATGAGCCAATATGGAGGAATCCAAGTTTTCATGTTGGATTGGCAATACAACACCAATACAATACTCACTTTTGTGTCACATCGGTTCCGGTGTTGTTGAAACTAAAAATTGAGTAGAAAACAAGCTCACCAAATCAAGTTGTACACAACCAGTGTAATGGGTGGTTGTGGCTTGATTGAATGCCGCACAAACTTGGTGACTTTGGGTGAAAAAGCTTGCCAACGCCGTTCGCAAGCGTTTTGATTTCGAAAAGTGTCAGGGATCTTGTCGGTGAAGTGGCTGTAGATGCGGCCCCAGTACGTGTTCTTCTTTTGGGAATCTCATGTGTCAGGATCAACGGATGTTGCTGCCCAGGCCTTACAAAGAGCGATGTCTTTGTTTGTAGTCCAGTTCTTCTTGGTGTTATTTTTTTGTTTGTATCTTTTTGGTTTGTTGCGGCAGAAGATCCCAAAGGTTGATTGACTGGTCTGGTGGATTCGGAAATGTATGGATCAATAGCCACCAAATCAAATGGGAATATGGAAGACTCTCAAAGTGGATCCATTGAGCGGGTATAGAGCGATATTGACTGGGATCCTCAAGGTTAGAAGCTTTTTTTATGTTTTTGAATGAAAGTTTGAATCTTGAAGACGTGACTATATTGGTCACGTGTAGGTGTTGCATGTGACATCGGGAGTCCCTGTAGGCCTCACAAAAATGGGGTTCCGGATGGAAATCTGGAGGCCCCCAACGTCTCACCCCCGATTGTGCGGGCTCTGTTGGAGTGTTTTTTTGCATTTTGACCCCCTACATTGTCAGGGGCCCCCATGATATGTGGACCATTGTGGATGCTCCTAGAGTCCAAAAATGACTTTTTACACATGATTTGCAAGTAAGAGTTCAGTGTGTAAACTTGTGTAATCAAATTTCGATTTTGCAGAGCGAGTCTGGTTGTGACTAGACTGGAGCAATGTAGTCATTAGGCCAGCAACTACAAACAATGCTGACAAGTAAGCAAGGAGGAAATAAGACAGAGTCGTGTTTCAATGGGTCTACAATAGACCACATCGGTCATTGCTAAACATAGGACTTCTCAAGATCGTTGAGAAGTAGCTTTTAGCAACAAATCCCTACGGATACCTGAAGCAAGGAGAATAGGTCAAGCCAGCAGAAAGGCCTAAAGATTCAGGGTCCTAACTAGACTTGTGTGGACCCCACTCTTTCGGCCTGAGGTGTTCTGCCTCTGCCATTGGTTCTTTTCTCGACTCTCTTTATGTGTTGTATAAATAGAGCTACTCTTTGCCAATGAAATGGAATCCTCAGTTCTTTCAGTCTAGAAATCCTTGTGTTTAGATCCTTGAGCCTGACTCTTTTGCCTATTTTCACTTGATTCATTATCAATTCAATTAGTCAATCATCCTTAGTCTTCAAGTCTTCCAAATACACTTGTCCGTGAGGTTTTGCACATTTCCATAAGTCCCTTACACCGCAAAGACACTTTTGTGCGGGAGGGCGTCCGAGCTGTCCGACATCCATTGATCGGGTCAGCACCCCAAATCAGGACAAAGCCTCGCTGTCCAAGGACAGTGACAGCCCCACGGAATTGTTCAGATGCAGTGGGGGTGTCCAGCTCAAGTCTTCGATGCGGTCTCTACGTACTCGGGAGACCTATGAATATCCACTCAAGGGTGACCTGAAGGCGCACCTCGGACATCTGAATCGTGCTCCACGCTCAGATGTCAAGGCGGCTGTGACCGGACAGCCTCCGGTTGTTTCAAATGTAGGTATCATACACATTGCTCAGCCAGTATTGACTTACTCTGAACAATCGACCTTCCCATTTCTTCTGCCTTGTACATCGAACTTTGGTCATTTCAATCAAATCAACATCTCAGTATCTCCCTTAATCATGGCATCGCCCAACGGGACCATTGTAGATACTTGTTAGTTGCTTTTGTACTCTTTGTTAGCCTTACCTTCAATCTGACACATGTATATAGATTTTGACAGAACACCGATAAAGGGTGGCTTCCAGTATCGGTGTATTCTGTGTAACGGTAGAACAATGAGAGACACGACTCGTCATAAAAATTCAGAGAATCACAAGGCTATGGTCGCTGGTGAGGAGGCATCTGTGGCCTGGAACCACGAGAACGAACGACATTTGGGCTCTTTCCTTCAAAATGCTGAGGAGAATGAAGATGTGCCCCAATTTTTAGGCTTTGAGGATGACGATAACACAGCAGCGGAGCCGGAGCCGGCTGGTTTTACCGAGGCACTGATGAAGCTCCTCACTGAACCTTACAGTGATTTTGAAGGTTCTGAAAGTTCTGGAGAAGATGAAGACTTTGCGGATCTTGCTGAGCGTGACTTTGAAACAATCTTATGGAAACGACTATGAGAAAATAAAGATCTCGGTCAGAGTGACTCAGCTTCACAAGAATCGAGTGAAGCTGAATATTTGGATGAATCAGAACAAGGTCATCAAAAACCCATTGATTCCGAATGGTATCCATTTACAAAAGAGGTTTCTATTCTCCTTCAAATAGAAACCTCAACAAGCCATTGACTTGAGTATGATCCCCTTTTGAAAGCAGGTTGCGTGTTTGCTTCTCTTGGGCTCTGGACGCCATATTCTCTCCGAAAAACAGTATGAGGGAGGTCGCTTTGTTTTTCGGATGTGTAATGTTGTCATACCAGCATATAAGACTCTGCGACGATTGCGAGAAGATATGTGTACACGCTTAGGACTCAATATCAACAAGTGGGAAAGTTCCCTTCAGAATCCTTGTTATAGACTGAGTATAAAGGAAATTGTTTCTCAGGCAAGCTTTGTGTTCTTATTTACACCACATCTTGATACTTGTTGATGATCACGCTTTTGATCAGGAGCTTGCAAATCCCATTGTCACAAAGGACTTGGTTTTCATTCCTGAATATGATCCAGATGGTCCGATTGATAGATTATCACAATCTGAAAAATGGCGAGAAAGATTCTCTCGGACACAGAGAGTCCAAATGGTCCCTTCGCTTAACGGACATTTTTTCTTGTACGAGCCTGTTTGTCAAACTTCAGGACAGTGGATTGTCCCAATATTCTTTTTTCAGCAGTCAGGCAGAGCGTATGCCAAATGTTTGAAGGCTTCGATTGTCTCTCAGGGTACCAATCCTGGAATAAAAATTATTGTTGATTCACACAAGGAGTTCAATTCTTTGCATTTAATTACTGTTTCAATTGAGTCTCTCAAAACATCCTTCATAGTTTCGAAAGACAATCAAGGTCTTTCTCTGGAAGGAAGATGTGGAGGTGTGATGTATCGTAAGTGATTTGTTTTGACATTTTCTTCATGAATCTGATTGATCAGTCATTTTTACTTAACATCAGAACGTAATCATGACAATGATGGCTACGACGAGATACCTCTCCCTAACCCATGGCGAACTAAATCAAATGGAAAGGTGATTCGACATGTCCCAATCACCTTGTATTCAGATGATACTTTGGGGAATGTATCGAAAAAGTGGAATAAACATATGAGTTATTATTTCACATTATCTGGCTTACCTCTTGGAATGACAAATCAGGAGTACAACATTCACTTTCTTGCTACATCAAATAAATCAAGTGCTCTCGAGCTTGGTGACCACGTAGTGGACGAATTAAAGTTATTCATTCTTTTGATGACCCATAAAATTGATACTAGATCTGATTCTTGACTTATCTTTTGTGTAGCATACTAGGAAAAGAGGGATTTTTTACCTACGATGAAACTCTGAAGGAGGATGTGCTTGTAATGGTTGTTCCCCTTTGTGATCTGGGTGACTCTTCTATGCATGCGGAAATAACAAACACAACCAACCCTTCAGTTGCATTAAATCCTTGTCGTATATGTATGTTGAGTGTTGAAACACTTGCTGAGAAAAGGAATTCACAATACACTTGAGATTTTGTGGGTGTAAATCAAGATAAGGTATGTGTATTTCAAATTTCAAAAACTATATAATAGATAAATAGGTTTCACATTGGTTATTGTTTTTGTGATTGTTTTAGGAAGGACCTAGACCACGTGAATGGACTGAGACAAAAGCGCGAACTTTCGAACTTTGGAATCCTCTTCGCAATCCGAGAAAATTCACTGAATTCATGCAGAAATCCAAAGATTATGGTATTCGTGACACTTTGAATGTTCAACATGTTGTGCGGTTTCATGAGCTACACCGGGACAAAGAATACTCAAATGAAGAGGTTAAGAAAATGTTTGACGATCTCAATCAAAAATTTGGGGAACATCTATTCAACCCCTTTTTACGACTGGAAGTTACGTATGTTTCTCACTTTCTGATTTATCTCAATTAAATCTGACAGAATTATATTAGGATTTGATGCACATAAAGACACACCGGTTGAAATTCTCCACGTTGTTTTACTTGGAGTTGTTAAGTATTTGTTGAAAGATGCAATGGATAATGTTCCAGATTCAGTGCTTCCTTCTATCTTGGCACGATGGAAATCCTTTGATACTGCCTGCCTGAATTTTCCACCAATCCAACCAAAGACGATGACTCAATTTTACCAGAGCTTAGTCGGAAAGGATTTTCGAACAATCATTCAAGCAGTACAGTCAAACCCGCGCAAATGCATACCCGCGCAGGTGCATAACCCGTGATAATGCATAGAAAAAATTCAGAATCTTGATGCTTTTTACTGCCAAATTTGACAACAGAAATGCATAACCCGTCAAAATGCATAGCAAAAGTCTTCCACCCAAATTATGTGTTTGCACGGGTTTGACTGTACCTTTTGTGTTGTATGAACATATCTCCTATGAGAGACAATGTATGTGGACAGCATTAGCACATCTTTGTTCTTTCATCTTTCAAACCCGCATTACCAACCTTGTTTCGTACACAAAAAAACTGAAAATACTCGTCAATATATTCCTTGGTCATATAATTCGATGGACAGCACAGTGGACAAACAAACCGAAGTTTCATATGCTTGTCCACCTAGTTGAATCAATTAAACGTTTTGGCCCACTATCTTTAGTCGCAACCAAAAAAAACAAAAGCTTTAATGGTGTAACACGCTTAGCTTCGGTTCACTCAAATCGGCACGATCCAGGTTTATACATTGCAACCACATTCCTTTTTGCAAACCTTATGAGAATGTTACTTTCTGGTGGGTATTTCTGGGATAGTAAGTATCAGTGTCGAGCACGTGCGGGGAAAGAGGTGGTCAATTTATTCTTGAATAATGAAAGGGTCCGGAAGAGTCTTGCTTATAATCAAAGTTGGGATTTAAAAGGATCAATTTCAATGAAAGGTACCCAAACCCTACTTTTAGAAACTTTTATTTATATCAAGACTCCTAACACTTTTTTTGCATCAATACTAATAGGCGACATGAATAAAGCATTGGCACCTGATGATTTAAAGGTGGCTTTCCCGAAATTTCGATGGTCACAAAAGAAAGAAGCACGTCTTGCAACAGGACAGCGAGTCCATTCAAAGAACTTTGTTTTTATTCACCTACCTGGTCACGAAAGCGTGAAAGTAGGTCAAATTGAGAGCTTCTGGGAAGGAAAACATAATAATGATTTCAAATACTTGGCAAAGTTGAAGGTCTGCAGTGTGACTGAGGATATTGATAGTTTTTATGGTTTCCGTGGGTTGATCATCACCAAGGAGAACTTGTGGATGCCACTAGAAGTTAGTTTTTCAATCGAATAGATCATTTCTTGTTGTGTACGCTGATGACACTATATTCTACACCAGAAGATAAAGTGTGTACTCAACGTTGTGGTGATCAATTTATGGGATCAATTAAAAAATTCACAATTACCAGTTTACCAGTTTATTAGCAGGATTCAGCAGGAAAGAAAATTCGAAATGGAGGTTTTTGATCAATTGAAGCTCTTGTAGGCTTATGTATTGGTCATTAGGTCAACATTACATCATTTTATTGCACATTATATATTAAGATCATTATAGTTTACTTACAAATTTATTACAAAAAGAAAGAAAGAAAAACATAAGAAAAATTCGAAATTATAGGTACAAAGGTTGGAAAATGGTTTTTAGGTTAGTAAAAATAAAGTTATGGGTATTATGAGGTTAGAATATGAAAGAACAACATTATATTATACTATGACAATTTTAATCTTCAAGGTTGATAAGTAGAAACAGAAGTTATTAGGAAAAAAGCACTTTTTCGAAGTTGGTAAACAAGAGGTACACGTGTAGTTTGGTTGTGTAATAGTGGTAGTGATGGAATTTAAGGTTGCCAAGAGGATTTTCCGGGTTTTTTAAGGTTATAGATGATGATGTCATATTACATGAGCAAGAAAAAGATAGTAGTAGCTGTGAAAAGTGAAGAAAATGGGTGAAATTCGTGGAAAATGGAGGTTTTCAGCTAATTACATATGTCAAATGACGTCAGAATAGGTTGGTAGATGGCTCATTCAGCGCAGAAGAGTGGATTACATAATGTACAAACTTTAAATCATTAGTAACGGAGGTGTGTGTAAAAAGTTATAAGGCAAATAAAGAATTGGTGTGAATCTCGAATTTACAGTCACAAGTCACATGTAACACTAAAAACCTTAACTTCACAACTCAATATCTTACTCATCACTCATCAGAAGTAGGTCATGTAGGTGTCAGAAATGATCAGTAACACGTGGGCTACAAGATGCACTTTAGTAATCAAAAATTGGAGCACATCTGAAAAAATTCGTAATCTCAAAAATTGGTTTTCAGCTAGTTTACAAGGAAAAAATCACCTGTATTCATCATAAGAAGTGCTGTACATCATATTATTGCGTCATTGATCACTTTTAGCTGTGAAAATTACATCATTTATTAGTAACAAAATCATTACATTGCGTCATCATAGGGTTTTTAGGGAATTTTGGGCGGATTTGATTGGTTTTGAGGCTGTTGACCATTGTAAAAGTTCTAGTACATTGTTATATATACTTTGAGAGGGTTTTGGGACTGTTGTTCCCCTTTTTTTCTTTATCATTTACGCCATTATTATTTTGTTTATCATCATAAACTTATTTTAATAGTACCTGTTCACTTAAATACGCCCTTTATTACAGTTATAAAGAGAAATTTACTTTAGTTTTATAGTCATAAAGACTTATTGGGAATAATATCAATCAGATATTGCTTATTTTTTTTTCAGTTATCAATTGGGAATAACACTATAGCAGTGTTGATAGTAATACAAAGTGTGCTTTTGAAGTTAAAATTACGTGTGAAGTTATATTTCTCTGGTGCCTTATCAGTACTCAATACAACAGAGCTCTTTCTGATTGTGTTGTTTTAGAAGAGCAGTCCTTAGACAACTTCTACTAGTCATTTTATTAGTAGATTATCCTCTTCCAGCTCTGTATAACCCTTGTTGGGTTATAAGTTCTACAACGTCCAACATAATTGTCATTTGGCCAAATGCCAACCACAGTCAAGTCCACCGAGACACAATGGACAAATGCCAGTTAAATCTCCGTATCAAATTGAACATAAACCAGTCAATGCATATATTCTAAACTCGGGTGCACTATATTCAGCAGAAGACCATCGAGCTGTGGCAAACATCAAATATACTGAATGGACAAGTGAGGAATGGAATGAATGTATCGAGATTGGTATAAGCAGTTGGAAAGTTACTCAATAAAACAAAGATAAAGCGAAGCAGGATAAAATGGGTAAAGATAATGTCAACAAGGCAAAATCCAAAGGGAACAAAAGGAAATATCAAGATATTGACCCCTCCTTATTTGAGATATGAGCAAATGTTGTATTTTTTTGATTGTTTTGAGTTTGATGTGAATGACTTTGTCTTGCTGCTCAAAACAGTGCGGTCTTCCCAAGTAAATGATGGCAGTGATGCATGCACATCTGTCATTTAAAACGTACTTTGACCAAACCAATCAAGATGTGTCAAGTGTCCCCTTCATCTTCATTCAACTTCAAGCGCTTTTGGGGTTGACTCCTGTTCACTCAAGCTTTTCGTACTTTGTTCATCTGTTTCAATCTCAACCTATCTCAGCATTAAGATGGTCCAAAGTCGTGATTCTCGTTCAGCGTCTCCACGTAAGTTGATTTCCTCCCCTTTGTCTATCTTTGGCTAACAGTTTCATCTGGATTAAAAAGTTCCAATGATTGAGTCACTTCCATCTTCATTGAGATTTGTTGGCTCGAGTACTTCTCAAAGAAACCCCAACAACAATCGGAACGAGGACGGAAGAGATCATAGCAACAGTCCTAATCATATGCAGATTGACCCCCAAAGAACGCCTGATTCTCCTTCAAGTTCTGACCGAGCACCTCACTCAGATGACACCAATAAAAATCGTTTTCAGACTGCACAGCCTGGCATACCTTCAACTCATCTACCTATGGCGCCAGCAGCTCGAGCTCAATGGAATCAGCTTGCTGACATATTCGAACTTGATTCTAAATATCGAGCAGAAGCACTTCGGATAAGCTCGGTGAGGCCCCTATCCATCAACGAGCTACCCTGGTTACTTACTAACACCACAATCTTGTGTTGTTTTAGATCACTGGTACTGAAAATCAATATCACACATTGGTCTGCCTCTTGCAGAAGACACGTCAAGATATGGACAACGTTGCGTCTCAGCTTCGCTCTGCTGCTGGCTGGAAGCCTGCTGCTGATTTGGGGGTAAGTAGCTTTGTTCAGATGTTGGTGAATTGTACTGACAATTGGTTCTGCCAGACTCGACTCACTAAGATCATACGTGAAACCTTGCAAGACCATACGATTGAATCATACACCCTCAAAGTCGATTCAAACAAAAAGCCTATAGCAAGATCTTTTGACAAGAAAGCTATGGTACATCTCTCTATATACTTCTCTTGTTTTAAATTACTCACTGTCCAACTCAACATGTAGAATGCTATCATGAAACAATCCGACTCATGGAAATTGGAAAATTTACCTTCAGACTTTGGTACTTCATTGACCGATCTGAAGAAACATGAGGCATTCATGAAGTTCTTTGGAGCCAAAATTAGGCATGTCCGGGATGACTTTAGAGTAGTTGTATGTCCTGTTACTTCTTATTCCCACAATCCTACTGACTGTCTTCTCATCTAAAAGCTCTTAACAAATATACTTGTACCTCATGCAAAAGTAAATGAACCACTTCAGCCAGTACCGAAGCTGTCTGAATTGCAACTACTGGCAAGTTTAAATTTATTTGCTGTCTCTCACTTACTTGTCATGCAGCTCCATAGAACCTCTTTGATCATGGAACATGTTACAGTTGGCTCGCTTTTTTAACCCACAAGATCTTCGCACTGAGAAAGAAATCAACACTACTTTAGATTCAAAAGCCCAAGCTCGATTCGCTTACCTGGTCAATAGTTTCAAAAATCTTTTACAGATGATTTACTTACATATTCAATATCTTTTTTCCTACAGAGAATTGAGGCAGTGAAATATCACTTCGCTAGCCAAGAAGAGCGCAAGTTGCGTCCCGGTCAATCGCACTGGGCTTGGGCCGATCATCAGCTTGCCACACTTCGGGGTGAAAACAGAAATGACACCAGGGCTTATCGCCGAGCGTAAGTCACCTCTTTGAATCCTTGCGATGATTACATAGCTGACTTGGTGCTTCTTGTACATCTAGTTTTGATACTATTATTTTAGCAACCGATCAAGGCTTCTTTGATGGAAAGAAAACGATTGACAAGATCAAGGCAGATGAAAAATTTAGGATTCCGACTGACGCTGACATCTCTCAAGCAATCGACTTCATGTCCTCAAACACCAACTAATCTACAACATCCAATGTTTGTTTTGTCTAATCGATCTGATCTTCAAATCGTGAGGTTGTTTAGGAGTATCACGTAGTTTTTTATATCTATATGCTTATCGAATTTAAATATTGTACATTTCATTAGCAGTCCTTTTTCTCTTGTTATTATATTGTGTCGTCATCTCACTAGTAGTCTACATATCTATCTAGCTCATCCTACAGCAATTGAGTATTCATATACAATTTCGAAGTCTTTTGACCAAAGCCAAATGAGATTTAGCGTGATTGTTACAACGAATATAAGATGTCTTGAAGACAGCCTATAGCATGTCCTCGAGACGCCTCAAGCTGGTTATCTACAAACAATCTAAGCAATGATCTTGAATTATCATCACCAATTCCCGCAGGGTAGCGCAAAGCTCCCCTGAGGGTACTGCTGCTGCCAGTATTCCCGCGACAGCTGTTCACGATGTCCACAGAACTCTCAGGAGGAGTCGTCCGGGCTCACTGTTGACACCTTTGGGCTGTCTGAGCTCGGATGTCCGAGCTGGGGTCCTGCAGAGCGTTCCGTCAGGACACCCGTCCCCCTGCAAAAAAAAAACGGGCATCCCAAGGACATCCGAGTGTCCTTGTGGTGTAGCAGTACCAATCCTTACCCTATGATCAGTCCTGTTACAAATCAATGAAATTGTTGAACAAGTGTGTGTAATCTAATCCAGAACAATCCCTGAAATCAAAGGCTAAAGTACACCCACTTTGGTAACCGTTGTGTGACGTGTGCGACCCACTGCGCCCCACCAAAAAGATGCACTGAATTTTGGTCACATATGTGACCCCAAAAAGTGATTTGGTAAATCAGAATGCAACAGAAGACGCACACGCATTTTTGCACATATGTGCAAAAATCGTGCGCATTCTTGAAAACGACTAAAAGTCGAATCTTTTGAAGTTAATGCAACTGCAACTTTCCATCACTCTCTCTTTCCACCCATCACTCTCCCTAAACTTATCAAAGTCCCACGCTCGCGCCTACTCGCGAGGCGTTGAGCGAGGGACTTATGCCAAACTTGCACAAACTCATTGCTCAGGGTTGAAGCCTTTTGCAGGAGAGCGTCTCAAAACCCCTCTACAGCCTTTTCCTTCAAACAATGGTTCTCTGGACCAAAGAAAAAACTTGTTCGCCGTACTTTTCCGCACATTGTACATCTCTTTTTTCCCGAGGAAGTTTCTCCCCTCCTTCTCTAAAATCACCCCTAAGTTGCTGAAAACCTTTCAGCTGTAACATGTAGCATTGCAGTGTAATTGCTGCGAGTGCTAAGTCACTTTGGTTATTACCGTTTTGTCCAAGTAGTACGGTGGCCTGGAAGCACAGTCACCAAATGTAGTCGCATTGTAAGTTCCTTTCTTCTTTTCTCCTCTATTATTCATCGGTTTATTACATCAGAACTGTGTATGTGATCAAATTCAAGACACGTTTGGCTTCTGTTTTGATCAAATCCTGGAGCACAACTTCCTGATGAGCCATACAGACAGACTGCTTGCAAAAGCGAGTGTATAATTTTATTGCTTTTGATGATCGATTTGAGATTCAGAAATGCATCATACACAATCTCATCGCTCATTCAGCCTGCCTGACTCTGATTTCTGTTTGCGGTCTCTGACTGAAGTCATGAAGAGGTCTCCTTTGGAACGTCTTAATAGCATATGAGCTGATCTCAATGTGATCGAACCACTGCTTTGGAAAATAGGTTGTGCCAGTGAGTTCTTTCGGGTTTTTTCCTCCGCAGTCTACCTACATATAACTCGCACATGTTTACATCTACATATAAATTGTTAAAAACTTTGAGACAATTTTAAAGAAGGAAGGGAGAAACTTCCTCGGGAAAAAAGAGATGTACAATGTGCGGAAAAGTACGGCGAACAAGTTTTTTCTTTGGTCCAGAGAACCATTGTTTGAAGGAAAAGGCTGTAGAGGGGTTTTGAGACGCTCTCCTGCAAAAGGCTTCAACCCTGAGCAATGAGTTTGTGCGAGTTTGGCATAAGTCCCTCGCTCGACGCCTCGCGAGTAGGCGCGAGCGTGGGACTTTGATAAGTTTACACTCTCCCTCTTTTTTGTACTTCACCAAATTTCATCCCTCATTACCACTAACAAAATCAACTTCTCACCCCCCAACTTCCATTAGGTTCAACTATTGGATCCGCTACACAACCTCGATCTTGACATCACCTTCTCGATCTCAATATGGCCTTTCCTTTGATCGATCTTAACAATCAATATTCACATCCAATCTTGATATCGACTGTCTTTGATTAATCTCAAGTTCCTTGTTTTCCTCTGGATCACAAACAATTTCTTCTATCTCGAGTAGCATTCAAACATTTCAGTGTTGATTACCTCACTTGTTAAATATTGCTTATTTGATTTAAATTTGTCATTATTGAAGATGTTTTATTTCTGATGCAATTGATGATCATTGATACACAAAAGGTTCAATGTTATTGAAAAACAAATCACATTGAAAAATCACCCGAGTCTCTTTAGTTTGAATGTTTAAGTCAAAAAGTAAATGATGTTGTGGCATTGAGGGGAGGGAAATTTGACTGGTTTGACCATCATTGAAGTCGATGACCTCCTTTAACAGATGGCACAAATTGTTATTGTGATCAATCGCGCTGAATAGTGATCACATACCTTCTACATACCTTTTACCAAACGTTCCCGAAAAACGAAGTGTTATGCAATTTTACATATATGGTGGGTAGTGCCTAAACGCGTGAAATCGGGTATTTTGAGAAAAGGCTCATGAAGCCCACAAAATTGATCCAATTTTGAAGCCGATGGCAGATTTGGAATCCTCACATCGATAGGAATCCAAAATTGTATTGAACATGTTGTTTTTAACGATTTTTACAGTAGAGAAAGTTCTTTTCATCCAATGGAGTTTTTGATAAATCAGCTTTTTGGCCGTACTAACCGGCCCGACATTACACGCTTTTAGACACTACCCACTATACACACACGATGAGAAAATTTCTCACCGTGATGTAAAAGTTGCATTAAATTATTAATGCGACTTTTTTTACCGAAGTGGGTGGTATGTACAGTGAGATTCCTTTTTAAGCATTGCCTTTACAAGCATATTTTTTATTAAGCATACAAAATGGTGCAACCATTTTTGGTAGGCGGTAAATCCAGATTTATAAGCATTTTAAGCATATGCTCCAGGTTTTGACTGATATGCTTGTAAAATTTCATGTGAAGCATGAAAAAAGAAGCATATCATAATTTATACACGTGGTTATGCTTCTATGTGATGTGAGAAAGGAAGGCGAAGTGGAGTGGAGTGGAGTACAGTTTAGCCTGAATCGACTCAAAAAGCCAAGACCAATTGAAAAAATGCCTGTCCATTTTTGCTGCCAAGTTTCTTTAGTACATATTATTCAAAAGGTGCATCATTTTGGAGCATTATTGGCTCTCAAACCTGACCCAGTTTCAAAAAACCACCATGTCCGTCCCCCATGAGCACGTCAACGTGCTCACACGGAGAGTTGTGTAATAAATTTGAACAGATCTTTATCCAATTCGTCTCTAGAAAATGCAAATCCTTTGTTAATAATAATAGACAATCAAAAAAGTACAGTTTGTCAATGGAACTATGAACAAAGGAGCCCATTTAACACTCTTGCTGTCTGAACCTCTTGACAAAGGCAATTGTATGCTTAGCTCTCAGACCTGTTTGTAGGTTATATCCACCCTCTACGGAAATTGATTGGTGTGAGCACGTCGACATGCTACCTCAAAACAGACATGGTGAACCTGGTTGCACCAGTGGAATTTTTGGCTGGGAGCTGTCAACAAATGTCAAGTTGATACACAAAGTTACTGCCAAAAAACAACTGGGTCAACTGGGTTTTTTGAAAACTGGGGCAGGTTTGAGAGCCACTATTACATAACTGACAACAGCTGAGCACCCAGGTTTGGCATGAGAAACTGAGAACACGTTTTCTCCCTCACCACTCGAGTTCCTTCAAGTTCAGGAGTTTCAAAACATCAAATTTCTATATCTACAGATATGTTTTCTCATCTAAAATATGTCAACCTCATCTGTTGATCAGCTTCTTGTGCGCATCTTGTCTCTCAGCCAGACCTCCCCTCTGGGCTTAGCTGAGAGGAATGGTTACATCTTTACGACTTTCAGCTGTGTCCCGATAATCTTGCCAATCAATCTCATTTCACAGCTTATTGCCTGATGTGTGATCTTATTGAATAAGTTGTTTTACACCTAATCTTCAGTTGGTTTGCTCCAATTATTTCTCAAATGCTTTCTTTCCCTGCACTTTTGCAAACAATACATGATTCTATATGTTTTTTACAACTCATTTGGGCCATTTACTGCGCCAAAAGATAAAAATTTGGCCCTAGGCATGACATTTAAGCATAGCATAATTTTGAGCACATTTTATGCTGCTATTGGGTCTGTTCCGATAAGAAGCATTTTTTATATTAGCATGGGATTTGGTGCAACCATCATCATGCTTATAAAGGAATCTCACTGTATTAACGTCTTGAACATCGACAGACTCCAAACTATACCATGTCCCCAAAAACTATGACATCTCATGCCGAACACCGTACGTTGGAGGTAGGCTCAGATACCAAATCACTATACTTTCCTTCACTCCTCAAGCCATCGGTAGAGTAATCATCTGATCTTAATCTTCTAGATCAACGGTTTCTTTGTGCAGGTTTCTGGCCTTTTGAAGTCAAAGAAGCCGATCGATGTGACTGTCTCTTTACCCATGATAGAGAATCCACAGGCCAAATATGCATTCCAGCTAAAAAGTCGAGATTATACACCAGTTTTGGAAGATGGTCAGACAACGGGGCAATCAAGCGAACCTCAGCAAACTGAGGTGGTTTTCCATCTGGGCGAAACGTTCCTGAATACTTATGGCAATTCTAAATGGGCTGTAAAGCTCTGTGTAAGTTCAGCACACGTTTACGTATCGATGACCGGCGTGTTCATGACATTGATGGGATGTTTGAATGTGTGCAAATCACCTTTTTGCACCTTCAGTTTGGCTGTCATCGTGCGGGCGAGCTCAAAATGTTTCGCAAGATACGTTTGAATCCACCGAATGAGCTAGTCGAATGGAAGACTATTACTGTTGGTAAAGCGACAGAAATCGTAAAATGGTACGATGAGGCAGCGCATTACGTAAGTACTTTAACCAACCTCACGTTGATTCAGGTAACGCATTGATTTCGTTTTACTCACTCATCCTCGCAGGAGGCCCTTTACTTCAAAGTACTGCTAACACGTCAAGTATCTTCAGATAACTTCATGATCAGTATGGAACGCGAGTTGAAAGGTCTGAAGGAAGCGATGAGTCAGATGCGCACCACACTTGGCTCTTTCCAATGTCCCTCAATCGACATCACTCGTCTGATCTTTCATCCAAAGCGTGGAGGAACTATCAAGAATCTTTATGTTCCAAGTCATATACTCACCAAGTTTGAATATTTTCAATCATGTAAGTGTCACCTTGATATCCTATCATAGTCCCACAAATCCCTTGTTTACGTTATATGACCTCGTCTAGTGCACTCGCAAGAATACTCTGAAACCTCGCAAACAGATGAATCTCCATTTCCATCGGATCAGCTGACTCGACAAGATGTTGGAGAAGTATTTGCCGAGGATTCTGATGATGAATGGGACATTGATGAAGACCCTCGCGAACCACAAAAGGTATGTTCATCAATTGCACATTTTCCAAAGCAGAACACTTCATTTGATAGGATTTTGTAATGTACTGATTGCGTGATTGTGGTGTGGATATGTGACTACAGAGTGATAAATTCAAGGCTACCATTCATGTCACGGACACATCGTCAGTATTTTTATCTTCACTTACATTACGAGATTGAACCAAACTGAGTGTCAATTCATCATTCAGTCGGCGAACCTATCAAGCGTTCATAGATTATGCATTTTGCGGGTAAGTGAAGATCAAAAATTGAAATTCAATTCCTTATAACCCATGATACTGATTCTTCTTGGCCATTAGAGCGTTGTACTTTGCTCCCCTTCAATCTACATACAGGCAAGTTAAGCTAGAGTGTCAGATTGACACTTTGCCTTTTCCTGCATGGCCCACCTGGGCCAAAGCTTATAGTGAGTCTCATGTCATTGTACCGGGGTACAAGACTCTCACAAGCCCCAAGAGTTTATACCGCATGGCTGATAGTAAGCAGAGTCCATTCTATGCCACCGTCGAGCCACGTATTTGAGGATCTCTGATGGTTTCATCTGATGATTCACAGTGTTGTTGATTCCTGAACTGAAATCCATATGCCGAAGACAGATCATCAGATTCCTACAAGATGATAATGTGGTATCTGAGATCATGAGTCCACTTTTTCGGCAACATGAAGAATTACGTATGTCTGCCTATGAATATGTGAAAAAGAATTGGGATTCCATTGCTAAAAGAGGCGAGATGAGTCGAATCTTTACCAACCTTTCACGCAAAGAGGCAGCTCTTATTGGAGAAACTTTGTTCAAGCACCTTACTCCATCTACCACATCTAAAACCTAGTGAGCTTTTGATTTATGGCATGTGATATATAGTCATGATGGCTTTATACTTGACTTCAATTTGTTCTGACCACAATTTTGTATTATCAGGAGAATATGCAAGCTATATTTCTTTGGTATGTTATTGTCATCAACCCCAACAAAATGCTCTCATTCCTTGGGACTATGTTTACTCTATTGTATGAAAACTATGTACCCAGATTGTGATACTTTGAACTACCGATTTTGGAAATTGGATAAATCAGGTTCCTTGATGAAGAGTGATTCGGGATGCAGATTCTCTCTCGTCACTTGTTTCAGGATTTTGATCTCAATACCCATGGTCTGATAGATGTACTCTAGCTTACCAACCTTTGATGGCACCAAAGATCCTTCAGGCTTGCGATGATTTCAATGCCTGCGGTGTCTGAAGACAATTTGTTTGCCTAAGCCGCATTCACTTTCAGACAAGGGACTCGATCTATAACATACTATGTCTCTCTTTTGTCCGCCTTTTGCTTCTGTGTCCTACATATAGTGCTGTGAGAGGTGAAAATAGGTTCTCAATGATGCACTCAAAGCAACTGCCATGATTGTGTTTGGCTTCGGTCCTAGTGCGCACTACTTATGTGGGAATAATGGATGAGTTCAGACTGGTTTTGAACCCAGGAAGAAACTTAACTTGAACGAATTGACTTGTTTACCATTCAACTTGATTCTCAATTTCCCCAATTTAAGTTCAGACTTTAGTATCAATTATCTTCAATGCTTCTGTCACATTGTGGTCAAAGAAGATACATATATTTGGAAAAATACCTGCTCAAATCCAATGATACCAAGTAACAGAGGTAGAGAAGACCTAAAGGAAAATTATTAGGAGAAAAGGAAGTTATTTTATGAAGTATCGAAAAAAAGCATTTCTCACGTTCTTCGGTGATGGTTTTTTTCCGGCGGATTTGATCAAACTATTGTCCTTCAATCTTATTTATATAAATTGAATCTTTATATTTCAATTTGTTCAACACTTCGTATACTAGTTTTTGATGATCTTTTGGTCTAGTACCAACATACATATGCTAAATATGATAATGACAAGTTATTTTAATGCGATTTCATCGGATTTGACGTTTTTTTATTGGATATGTTTGAATTTTAATCTTGATGAATGATTCCTTTTGAAACTTTTCAATGATGATCTTTTTTTTGATGATCGTTGATCCATAGATATCTTGATCGTAAGGAATGGAAACCTAAATCACTCCGGTCCATTTCCACCTGGAACCAACTAATTAAAGTAATACGCATCAAGAATCATAAAGAACTGATCAGATTTCAGAACCAAGATGTTAAATAAGAAATTATGATCTTACCATACACTTTTTTCAAACATAAAGTAAAGATGATCATTAAACCAAATCAGTATAAAAATCAAAAATGAGGTTTTTTTTCCCCAAAAGAATAAACGATTGACTTACGATTTGATTTCCATTTAATAGAGTTTGTTTTAAATTAGTAATCTTATGACCTTCAGCTGTAGTTTCACTAAACATATATAAGTAAAAAATCATTAAACGTTAATTGATCAAATTCTATAAACCGAGGTATTCCAAAAAAAAAACGACTTTACTATTCAGTTACATCTTCAAGTACCATATCTAAATCAAAAGAAAAAAAATCCAAAATTATCAAATCAATGACTGTAAGTTTGTAATTTTTCTGTTTGGATGCGTTTTTCTTTTGAATTTTAACATACTAACGTAATCATCAAACCCTAGGAGTTTTCCAGTAAATTCACGTCCAGTTTTCATCACTACCCATATCCTGGAACCAATACAACGATCAATAAGTTCTAGAGTCAATCAAAAAAAATCAGACATCGAAAAAAAATCGTATTAGTAATGTAAACAGATGGGTAAGATTGATCGAGTAGAATTTACCTAATGGTAAGATGGTGGATGCCATTCTGATTTGGTTGGTTTGGTGGTTTTTGAAGTTGACGAGTAGCAAGTTGGATTGGATTGGAATTGGTTCTGGTGAATTCAAATTCGATCTCTGTTAATCAGTTGACATGTCTCAACCGATCTGTGAAAGGTAAGATGACATTCTCATTGGATCAACTCAAACTTTCAATCGAATCACTCTTTGATAACTGTTTGGTACCGAACCAAGTCTTGTTTATAAAACTACAACAACAAATCATCATTTCAAAAACAATTATCATCATTTCTACAACAACAACAACAACAACAACAACAAGAACATAAACTAGATATTACAAAAAAAACAAAAAACAAAAGAAAACTAAAATCTAGAAACCCCTTCAGATTTCTATTTCTTAATTGTACATATCACCATCCTGATCTTTTACCAAATCCTACTTCTAACCATATCAAACCTACCAAGTTCTTCTAAAGGAATCTGAACTTTTTTACTTTTACCACCCATCTCATTCCCATCTTTCCCATCTACTTCTTTCTCTTTAACTTGATGAGTTCCTTCCAGCTGAACTTCTTTTACTGCTCCTTCCACTTTTTTAATTTGCTGTTGATGATGAGAAGGCACATCAAAAACATCTAATTCAATTAACCTTTTCTCTTCTTTTTCTTTCAATAATTCAACTTCACTCATCCCAATCGGTTTCCTTCTAAAATCATTCTTAACATCTTCATTCTCCCTTTTACAAATCGTTTTAATCCTTTCTTCTGAATATATCCTTAACCAAATCCCTATGAAAAGTTTTAATAAAAGTAATATACTTAACCCAGTTAAGATACTTAATCCGATTAATAAATTCATTTGAAATGGTGAAAAGTTGGGATCATGTTCAGTTTGTTGATCGATCGGATCTTCGCGCGTATTATTGGTGGGTGTTAACCATGTTTTTAGAAAACTCGGAAGGATCGAAAGTTTGATGAGGTTTCGCTGAAGACCACGAATTGAAAATGGTGTGATTGAAGGATTGAGGATTGAAGTGGAAATCGGTTTAAATGTGACCGGTTCATCATCTGAAGATTCTGAGATCATATCCCAAGCTTGAAAAATCACTCGAACGGTAAGACAGCAAATTGGAAAAACTGAAAACCCTAATCGACGTGAAACTGCTGGTGATCGATCTACAAACGGCTAAAGAGATGATTCAAAAGAATTGATCAGGAGACAGATCATCATCCTAAAAGCCACTTAAACTGAAAAAAAAATCACTCACTTTGATCTTTCGACTTCCCATTGTAGCAGACCCATGACTATCCTCTTCATTACTAACCAAATCTTTACACAACAAATCAATAAACCTACCATAAACATTCGGACGGATATGATTGAATTTAGTAATAAACGCATGTTTTAACCAATCTACCAACACCTCACTCAAGATCACAATCACAGGTGGAAGATAAATCGTTTGAAGTAATGATAAAGATGGAAAGATATTAAAGGAAGATGGTAAGTATTGATAGGTTAGACTATAGGCGTGTGAAGGTGGAGTGGCATGAGATGTGGGAGATGCTGAATCCCATAATTCGATCAAGTTTCGAAATGCAATGACATGTAACATCAGGGTGAGTTGGAAACGTTCAACAATATCTGAATTGAATTCAAACCCATCAGAAAGAATTCAAAGATGATAGGAGCAGTCTTAAAGGTTCAAAGATTACACACCTGCACAACTCATCTGAAAGAGATTTTCTTTTTCAAACTTTTTGAAAACTGAACCTTTGATCTCCACAAATTGATTCGAGATCAAAAGTGTGATTAATGAATGATCATATGAGTTGATAGCAACGTTCAAGGAAACAAGTTGATAAAATAGCACAAGAGTGTGTGCAACTAACCGATCCCACAAAAAATCACGTCAATCTCACTGATCCAAGATGGAGAGAAATTCGAATGAACACAAAGAGGTAGGCGATCGGTCTCACCAGTGAAGATGAACGCCAAGATGAACAAGAACATAGGTTTCATACGAGGTTGACTTCCATCGGTTCTTCTGCCCAATGTCGAAGGAGAAAAGAGAGAGTCAAGGATATCCTGACCAAAGGAGCAACACAGCCTATCTGCGATCTAGAAAAGAAAAATATGAAAACCCATAGAGCTATCATCCGAAAGAGACCTTGTGGTATGAGAGAAAGGCTGAAGAAATCAAAATAGAGACATGAAATCTTACCTCCAAGACATTGAAAATCACATAAAGCTTGATGGTTTCCTAATAGAGAGTAATTCATCTATCAACTTAATGCTCAAAGTGTAACGAAATAAGATGAGCTACTCACTTGACCTCGTACCAGATGATACATTTTACTTGCATCAGTAATATGATGTAAAACCACACAAACCAAGATGATTAATATACCTTGCATTAAATCGATTTTATTGGAAATATTCAGTCGAGGGATTTTCGGACGATTAGCCTTGTTGCGGAAAACCGAAGTGGATCGACGCATTAAATTATGAATCAATCGACATAAAGAAAAGAAAAACCGAATAGGTAAGATCGTAAAGACAGAAACAAATGCATCTAAACAAATCACTAATCCGAATAAAATCATCTTTTCAATAGCGATGGGTACGTTTAAAAAATTCGAAACTCTTTCTGATCTTAAATTAGTAGTGTTGAGTGATTCAGATACATGTTCATCATCTGCACTATCGATTTCATATTTAAGATGATCCCATAGAGAAAATGAAAATAAACCGGAAAGTGCATGAGCTCGTTGAAGGTTACGTCGATTGAGTTCTTGTTGAAGATCTTCATCAGCTATGAGTTGTTCAGATGCTCGACGAGACTGAGAAGATTTAGGTCGGGTAGGAGATGAAAATTCTTCTTCATATAACAGACTATCTTCAATGATATCCGAGTCAGGTGACATCATGACATTCCTGAGGGATGATCGAGGTGTTTTGAGTGGGGTTGACATTGGTGAATAACTTGTGGAAGGATGATGTGAGGCTATGTTTCCTGAATCCGATAAAGGAGGTGATGAACCTTGTGGAGAAGGTGAGTAGACTTCACTGTTGTGGACTGGCGTGGGACAGTTGTCTTCGTCTTCTTCGTCTTCATCTTCGTCTCCATCTTCGTCTGCATCTTCTTCATCCTCTGCAAGATCATGATCATCAGGCATGTAACATCTCTCATCATCTTCCGAATTGGTCATCTCCGGGAATTTATTGTCATCGTCATCATGATCTAAAGGTCTTTCAGTCTCATCTCCAGATAGACTGTAATCAGATAAAGTGGGTACCGGTTCTGAATGATGTCGAATCGGACGTCTTGGAATAGGATTCAGTCGGATTTGAGGTTCTGAACCCGAAATCACGTCATGTTTTTCTTTTGATTCAGAGTTAGATTGTGTAGTTCGATCTGATGAATTTGATATAGATTGATCGGCATAATCGGATAAATCAATTAACTGAATAGTATCATAAGAGTTTTCACAATCTTCAGAATCCGAAGACGAATGTTCAGATATAGTAGACTGATTGGTAGGAATGTTCTTTGGTATAGGTTCAAGATCTGATGTATTTTTGGAAGATTGATTAGGTGAAGAAGTTTCAAGAAGCGAAGATTGAGTCAAGGTAGGTGAATGGATCGATGGTTCTGATTCAGGATATATGATTTGATTTGGTTCTTGTGATGATGATGAATGTGAATTGTTTTCTGGTTGTTTTGTTGATGATGTTTGATGTTGCATTGTTTCTTTAACGGTTCTTGTGGATGGTTTGATAGTTTTTGAATATTTCTTGATAAAGTTAATCAGATCATTCAAACTTGGTATCCTCTCGGCTTTAACTGTTAAAATTTGATCTCAGTTTTATCCCCCTTAAGATACCGCTTTAGTCCGGAGGGCACCTGTATGTGAGCATAAATTTTGGCCCTGTGAACAAGAGCCTGTAAAGTTAACCAAAGATTTAAAAAAGTACTACAAGAGCCTCGGGGGCGGCCCGCCGCCCTTTCGGCATTGCATACCTCATCTCGACTCTACGTGACCAATGTTTTGTATCTCGCTCTGATAAATTGCTACTCCGTAGTATGCAATGTGAAACGCATGACGGGACTCTGCATTACTTCCTTCGTTGTTGTATAACATGTATCAACGCTACGCTCTCAGTGGTCAACGCTCCGTACATCTACGCCTCCATTGACAGATCCCCCAATTCCTCTTCTTCGATGTGCAACAATACCCAATTGACATGCGGAGGTCCTCGAGATTGGAATTCCACACTCTTAATATACATTCTTCCTCCAATCATCTTCGTTTCGCATTTGATGCGTTTGACATCGTTTGAGTTCGTTCGATCTCTGTCTTCGCAGCGACTTGCGTCGATACATTTCGTTCCCAATAACATTGTTTATTTAGTCTTCTCAGTCAATCACAATGTCAGAGACTCAAATCATTCATTCGCGGCCACCAAAGTCCAGCTACTCACGAATACTCAAGTTTTTAATACTTTCCGATGAGCGTTGTCATTTCCCACCACTGTGAACCTGATCTGTTCTATATGTCCGTGATTTCAATCTATAGCCTCGATTTGTCAAAGTTTAACAACCTGACTTACTTCTGATTTGTTTGAATCTTTGATCTAGACTTTATCGATGACGCGGGTTGGGAAACACTGCCAGCATTAAAGAGGTTCCCAGATGGGAATACGGGTCCTAGTGATCAGATTCCCATTCTGCTACTGTTACACAGTTCCATGAATATTTCCTGAGTAGCCATTGTGATATATGTAGTCAATATTTTGAAATGTGCGTCTCAATCTGAACAAAGTTACAGCATGTATTACACATGATTTTCTTATCTAGATGAGCAGATAGCTGAGCGGACCTGTATGTAGCTGATAGCTAAGGATTTACTCAGATGTTTGCACATATGTAGTGTATGCTTTATGGCTCAGATGTGCAGTGCAAGATGATTTGATTCTCCATTCTTCTCTCAATGATATTCCCAGCCTAGGTCATGTTCCGACCAGGGAACCTATTTAATGCTGGCAGTGAAATGTGATTGTAGATTTCAATTCAAAATTGAATGGTCCACGGATCTTTGGGTCCCAGTTGGTTCACTTTTACTCGGCTGAGTACCCGTCATGATTGGCATACTCGCAGTACTACACCGGTCCCAATGATTGGTTTTTCTCTCCGATTATCCGATTACTGAATACTCCCGAAGGAATGCAATTTCTCATGTAGACAATTCCTCAAGCCTTACAACATAGCCACATGAGCTCTTCTTATCGTTCATCGACTTTCGCATCTTCTCGTTCCTTAACTCGCCTCCTAAAGCAACATTACATTTTCAACCTGGAAGAGAAGTCAGCTCACGCTCGTACTTTCAAAGCTCTTTGCTTACCTTGATAATCCATCCCCCGCGCCAATCCGACCAACTGATGGCATGCCCCGTCAACTCCAGCGCGTTGCCATCCCTTAACAATGCTGCCTTCTCTTTACCTAATACGTCGACATCGCATAGGTACTCGGCTGTAAAATCAACCCACTCCAGGGCCTACGTTGTCGTCAGTTTAATGATGTATAACCCGCATAAAGAAGTGCAAACCGTAATATCCCACTGCCAATGCTTAACACATGCTACGTGATAATCCCCCTTGTCGGGCCCCGAATTTGCGTCGTTATACGACACCACCACTCCCCGTCCTATAAATGTTACACTGTTGGTCAGCGCCTCGACAGAGGCAGTGGTTTTGCTGACGGCCGCCACTGATTCCCGATGTAGAAACAACCGCTGTCGAGCGGTGAAGTTGTCCATTGCGATAACACCTTGGAGTCTGTAATATTTCGATACTTGCAGTTCCGTGCCCCCACTCTCATCGATAATTGCGAATGGAATGTGCGTTATCAAACCGCCTTCAACTACCGTTTCTGACTGATAAGCTACCCGCATTTTGTCTCCCCGTCGAAATCCGATTATCTGGCAAGTGGTAGTCAGTTATCAACGATGCTCTTACGCTTTCACAATGCACTCACTTCTTTGTCTAATCTGAAAATGCCACCGCATTGCAACGACATTTGCTCATATTGTCTGATTCCCTTTTGATGCGTTCTTATTGCTCGGTTCATTATCAATCGGTGTAGGTAGTATTGTTATTGATTTTGATCGATAGTACTGAATTGTTGCAATGAAGCGTCTTCGTGTTTGTCTCTTTATATCTTATCACTGCCTGTAGCTGACCTAACGCAGCCATCCCACATTACCACCTCGGTCTTGACTCATAAGCAAACCCAATCATGATTGAGACTTGGACACGTTTAGCTTTCTCCTGCCATTTATCAAACCCAGTCACCATTCAAATGTCGTATTGCCATCTCCTCCACTTAAGTCGCAATTCACATTTTCAGTCTGCATAATCTACTTGTGGTGGCTGGTAATACTGTTACAATGAGTATGCCGTCGCGCTGTACTTAAATCGCTTCGGCAACAATAATTACGATGTATCCATCAATTAAGTTCAAGTTTTAGAGCTGTGTTGTAATATAGATACATTTGAGACATGCGAGCAACTTATAACAATACATCATGGAACACAATATTCTTCGTCTCGGCTGTCTTGATGTCTTTTGACATGCAGACCATGATCTTATCAGCGCGTGTACATCTTGATAGTGCAACATATAGTTGACCGTGAGAAAAAACAGGACTTGGTAAGAAAACTACTACGCTGTTGACACTCTGCCCTTGAGATTTGTTTACTGTCATACAGAATGCTGGTGCAATCGGATATTGAAACCTATAAAATGGCAAGGGACACGCTGCATTCCCAGTGTGATGTAAATTTATTCTCGGTAGCGTTATCAAGCTACCCACGCGGCTTCCAGTTATTATCCGACATGACAAAATCCTCCTACCTACATGCGTTACTACCATCCTCGTTCCATTGCATAACCCCCGCTTCATGTTTAAATTCCGCAATAAAATTATTGGCATTCCCTCTTTTAAACATAGAGAGTGCACTGGGAAATTGGGTACCGTGAATGTATTCAACATTTCTGGTGTCAACGGCTCCCCATCGGTTGAATCATCGCTTGCGTCAATCGAATTCGAATAGAAGGCTTCGCCATCCAAACTACTTAATATTTCGTCATTGATTTGCGCAACATATTTGTTCAATGGTGTGATAATGCACCGGTCGCCGTAATAAGTCGCCAAGTCGGTCCATTGGCCTCCTTTGATCAGACCGTTGGCTTCCTCGTAGAGACTCAAGGCTATGCCTTCATCGAATGTTTTCGCGGAAGAAATGATTTTATGAGCAACATGTTCTAAGTGGATATTCGCCTCTGTAACAACTTGCAAATCTCCAGACCCCACTTCTAACAGCCACTTAGCATATTCTCTATTATGATTTGCCACGTGCGGTGTAACATTCGAGACGCCTAATCGAACATTCGTTGTCAACTTGTGGCGTTGTAAGCCACTCCATAAGTAAGAACAACGCAAAGAGGCCTCGGCTTGTTCAGCAATCGAACCTCTTGGTACGATAGGCAACGTTTGGCGAAAATCGCCAGAAAAAAATACCATGACGCCGCCGAATGGTCTATCTACTTCTGTCAATTCGCGCAGCGCACGATCGACACAATGGATATCGGCCTATCGCA